CATCTGATTGCTATTTTGGGGTCAAGAAGGAATTTTTTCCTAGTTTGTTGCAAAATTGGGAGCGCTTCAGGCTAGGTTTTTTGCCTTCTTTTGGATCAACAGCAAAAACATATGTAAGGAAGACTGAACTTGATGGACGCAAGTCTCTTTTCACCTATGTAACTATGTAAATCTTCCACTGACATTAATCGCCCCGCTCACCACGACTGACTCCGTGGACTCACATCTCTTGGATCTAGAGGGACCTCCATGCAAACGTCCATTGAAAGGGGATAGCACCTCGGCAGGCAAAGTTAAGTCTCCTGCAAAAACTTTTAAATTATTCCTCCACCTACTTTGCATGATTATTCAGACCCTGTAGATCTACACTGTAGAGGGTTCTTCTTCCCAAAACATTCAAGTGATAGCACTAATTATTGTGATGAGGATCTCCCAGGTAATGTGCATCGAGATTCCTCAACATCAGAATTTGTCAAGGAGCTCTATATTATCATACAAGCTCTAATAACATTAAGAAACCCCCCATAAATCAATCTCAGAGACCTAAACCAACATGTCTTCAACCATCATTTCAAGATGGAAGGCATCCATCTTCTACTAGACCGCCTTTGCGTGGTAGACTGGTTCTCTCGCTTCAAGACGCGTATCTCAAGGTTCCGATCACACAAAGCTATCACGTTTCTTAAATTCCAATGGCAAAGAGACATTTGGCAGTTTACCTGCCTTCCCTTCAACCTTTGTTTCTTCGCCATGTAGCTTCACCAAGTTAATGAAGCTAGTCATGGCGTTACTTCACTCTCAAAGGATTCTCCATAATATATTTGGATGACATTCTGATCATGGCTCAAGATCCACACACACTTTGTCATCATATGGATATGAACTCGGCACTATTACAAAACCTAGGTTTTTTTTTTGTTTTGTTTTTTTATCAATTTCCAGAAATCAGTTCTGGAACCTTTGCAGACCATTCAGTTTCTGGGATTTAAAATAAATTTCATGCAAGTAATTTTACAATTGCCCTCCACCAAAATCAAAGCCATCAAGAAAGACATTTGAAAGTTATTGTCTGTTCAACTGATACGCCTACGAGACTTGGCACACATAATAGGCTTCCTCTCCGCATCCATCCAAGCTATATTTCCGGGACCTTTGCACTATTGAACGATGCAGCGTTTGAAAACATTTTATCCACAGTACAGGAAAGAGATAATTTCTTATCATTAAAAGTTATCACTCAATGCACAAATAATTTGGAATCTCACTACATATTAATCTATGGATGGTATCTAACCCCTTCCAACTTTTTAACTTAAATCTTAGAGAAAACAATAAATGTTTGGAGAAACTACGGTTATACTGGTACATTGTTCCACATCTTCAATTTGTGTCCCCAAATCAAATCTTTTTGGCTGAAAATTAATTAATCAAATATTAGAATTCGATGTAGTTTTATCCCTGTGTATTTGTCTCTTTAAGCAAATTCCATCTAACCTGACTAGATATAAACAAGTTACACTAAGCCATCTTTTAATCTCTGCAGATTCCATCATCTCCCAACTCTGTAAATCACCCACTATACCAACTGTGGGTGAAGTTTTATCTGTAGTATTTGAAAATAAAAGATGTTAATTAGCTTTCCATAAACAATCTACCTTCATATCTATATTGCAGCATGAATAGTCCATGTGGGAAGATGTGAAAAAGGAATACGGACTTTAACCATGGTCCCACCTGACTGAATGTTTGTTCTACTTACTGACTTTTTGTTTGGTATCATGTTATAACGTATTCTTTGAATTTATTTTCACTTCTGTACATACTTTACGCATCTCATTTATATAGGAAACTATAATTTTATTAAAGACACTGAGGCTCCTATTATGCATTCTCTTTCTTTATTATACTCCCAGCAGCAAGAAAAGGAAGTATGAGAGAATCATAGAAAAAAACATAACAGCCTGGTAACAGTGGCACCAATCAGCATCCAGTAGTATCCATATGGGTGTGGTGCTCCTTGACTCCTCCTCTTTCTTGCTGCTCCCTCAGACAAGTTAAGTACCTCATCTCTTGCTACTCCTGTGATTTTATACATGTTTGTGTATTTTGTGAAAAAGATTTTAGCATAGTGTATGTTTATGCCTATTTTATGCTTCACTGTTATTGCTGGTTTATTTCCTGCTGGCGTCTGGGAGTGCTGCCTATTTGGGTCTCCGGGACCCTGGGTTTTTCCCCTTCTGAGTAGTGTTTTACTCTTTTCCCTGCTCGTTCCTTTTTTTTTGTGGGTGCAGCAGGGCTGACCTTAGCCGCTCACTGTTTATGTCCGCGGTCTATTCCGCGCATGCGCTCTTTTTGCCAGTTTCCCCTTTTCTAATGGCCGCGCATGCACAGTACGTGCCGCGGCGGCCATCTTTTTGGTTTCTGTCGCCGCCTATGTAATTTTACTCGCGGTGGCCATTTTAAGTACTATTTTCGGTGGGAAATTGCTGCGGACCAATGCTGTAGGTGGATAACGGTCTCTCCTACCCTCCTGGCGCACTCCCAGACCCATAGTGTGTTTATTGCTGTTATTGCTGGTCAAACTGTAAGTGTTGGTGTGGAGGATTACTCTATCCTGACACCCTTTTTGTCCTTAGCCTTAGCTAGTATTTTTTCCCTACAGGTCATTTCAGATACTGTTCTTAAACATTTAGCTACTACTAGTAGCATTACTAGCATTTTGACCCTGAGTGGACTTGGATATATAATTCCCTGTGGGATAATATTATTGCTAAAATGCAAGATCAGAATGAGAGACCTGCAGAGTCTGTGTGTCCTACACCAGGGATTTCCCCCTCAGACAGGGAATGTAAGGATGACGCCAGCCTCATGGCATCGGAGGAATTTCAATCCCTCCTCGATTCTATCATGGCACAATCCATCAACAAGGCGTTAGTCTCCGCGATGGGGGTCATGTCATCCTCTATCACACAATCTATAACCAAAGCGCTGATGCAATCTCAGAATAGTGGCCCTCAGAGCACACAAAACCCGGGAACCACTAATGTGGTACAGCCGGGACGCAAAGCCTTGGCGAAAAGCAAACATATTGCCTCCCCTACAGAACTGCAGGTTCAGCCTGCAATGACTGACACGCCTCAGGTTGTCAAGGATGGCGCGATACCACCGCGCAATAGAGCCCCTGGCCGGGCAAAATCGACCAGATCCTGGAAGTGGGCACGTGCCCAATAGGACTCATCCGATTCAGACTGGAGTTTTCGAGGAGGAGTATGATGATTTATATACAGATCATTATGGTGCGGAATATTCAGATTCTGGGTCTGAGGTGAAATCTAACACTGCGACCCAGAAGGCTACGGCTAAGGGCGCTGAGCCTGACGTATCGGGCGAGGGCAATGATTTGTGGGACCCTCTGGGTAACCCGTTGTTTGACCCAGATAACCTCCGTCACCCTCGCTCAGTGGAATGGGAGCCGCCTGCGCACATTGCGAGATACCTCGCACTAAGAGTAAGGAAGGACGTAACAAACTACGGGCGGAATACCCACGGCCCATTCTTCCAGACTTAGTGGCAAAAACCCAAGTGGATCCCCAATTGGTCCAATTTTTAAATAAGTCTGGTTGGAAAACGAGGAAAGGCTTAGACTTTTCTCTTCGGAACTGCCAGGACAAGTTCCTGGACACTTTGGGGCCCATCTCTAAACTATATGAGTTAGTGGAATCTGCCCAATCGGGTGAGAGTGACTTTAATTTCGAAGTAGCGAAAGGCTGGTTGCAGAGGTTAGTCTGCAAGGTGGGTAACGCCAATACGGCCATGGCAACCGAACGCCGCAAGGCGATTCTCATGAGAATAGAGCCCAAACTGGTCAGTATGGCGACCAATGAGCCGGGGCCAGCCGCTAAAGGCTTACTTTTTGGTGAATCCTTCATTAAGGATCTTGGGCTGTACGTAAAAACGATTCGAGGCTCATTTAGAGCCGGCAGAGGCTCCTTTAATACCCAGAGACCGGTACCAGAACGAACCTATACCCCGTTCTTCCCATCTCGTGGACGCCCCTGGAACTCCCGAGGACTGCGGGGGTCTCTCTCAGGCAGACGACCTTATGGTGAGTACCGAGTATCTCCATTTTTCCTATATAAAAGTGGGGGGTAGATTGGCAGTTTCACCATGCTTGAAAAATTCTAACCTCAGATGTTTGAGTATTAAATACAATACAGGGGTACCTATTGGAGCTAGTCTCTTACCCTACTCGGGTGCAGTTCCCTCGAGAACTAAACATGGCCAACGACCACCACTAGATGATCTCGGCAGAGATTGCAGATTTGGTGTCAAAACACGCTATTCAACAAATCCCATGGGAAACAGAAGGGTTCGTGAGCAACCTGTTTCAGGTCCCCAAGAAAGGGGCTGGAGTACGCCCAGTAATAAATCTCCGACCCCTAAATGCGTTTGTCCAATATCACCATTTCAAAATGGAGGGTATTCATTTCCTTCGAGACATCCTACTACCATCAGATTGGATGGCCAAGATAGATTTACGGGATGCTTATCTGACAATCCCTGTCGCGGAAGCACACCAAAACCTACTGCAGTTTCAGTAGCAAGGAACGAAGTGGAGGTTTGTAAGTCTACCATTTGGTCTGTCCTCTGCTCCATGGTGCTTCACAAAGGTACTGAAGCCGGTGATTGCCTTCCTGCAGGGCCGGCGCGTCCATAAGGCGGCACAGGCGGCCGCCTTAGGGCGCACCGGCCCGGGGGCGCAAATGTCCGGGTGGCCTGCAGGAGAGAAGCGCACAGCTCGCCTCTCCTGCCGGTCACTTCTTGTAGCGTGGCCGAGCGCCAACCTGCATTGCCGCGGACTGTGTGGAGGGGGCGGGGATATGAACGTCATATCCCTGCTCCCACTGAAGCACACAGCGCGGCTGGTGCCCAGCAGGGGCGGAGCTACGGGCCCCCTTCTATTCAGCATGGGAGGAAGTCCTCCCAAGAAGACTAGAGCAGCAGAAGGCAGAGAGGAGGGGGGCTGGGCAGGACCAGCTCCTCCAACTCCCAACTACCTTAGGCAGCACTTTGGATCCCAGGTAAGCCCCCCTTCTGAACCTGTTGGTCAGTGTGTCTGTGTGTATCTATGTCTGTCAGTGTGTGTGTATATGTCTGTCAGTGTGTGTGTGTGTGTATCTATGTCTGTCAGTGTGTGTGTGTGTGTGTGTATGTCTGTCAGTGTGTGTGTGTGTGTATGTCTGTCAGTGTGTCTGTGTGTATCTATGTCTGTCAGTGTGTGTGTGTGTATGTCTGTCAGTGTGTCTGTGTGTATCTATGTCTGTCAGTGTGTGTGTGTGTATATGTCTGTCAGTGTGTGTGTGTGTATATGTCTGTCAGTGTGTGTGTGTATCTATGTCTGTCAGTGTGTGTGTGTATGTCTGTCAGTGTGTGTGTGTGTATGTCTGTCAGTGTGTGTGTGTATGTCTGTCAGTGTGTCTGTGTGTATCTATGTCTGTCAGTGTGTGTTTGTGTATATGTCTGTCAGTGTGTGTGTGTGTGTCTGTCAGTGTGTGTGTGTGTGTGTATCTATGTCTGTCAGGTGTGTGTGTGTGTGTCTGTCAGTGTGTGTGTGTGTGTATGTCTGTCAGTGTGTCTGTGTGTATCTATGTCTGTCAGTGTGTGTGTATATGTCTGTCAGTGTGTGTGTGTGTGTATCTATGTCTGTCAGTGTCTGTCTGTGTATCTATGTCTGTCAGTGTGTGTGTGTGTATGTCTGTCAGTGTGTCTGTGTGTGTATCTATGTCTGTCAGTGTGTGTGTGTATCTATCTCTGTCAGTGTGTGTGTGTGTATGTCTGTCAGTGTGTGTGTGTGTGTATCTATGTCTGTCAGTGTGTGTGTGTGCATCCATGTCTGTCAGTGTGTGTATGTATATGTCTCTGTCCATGTGTCTGTGTGTATCTAAATGTCTGTTAGTGTGTGTGTCTGTCTGTTAGTGTGTCTTTGTGTGTCTTCTTCCCTATCATTGTGTATGTGTGTCTGTATGTCACTGTGTGTTTATCTGTATGTCTGTCAGTGTTTGTGTGTACCTGTGTGTCTATCTGAATGTGTATCAGTTTGTGTATATGTATATCTGCATGTGTCAGTGTGTGTATCTTTGTGTATGTGTATCACAGTGTGTGCGTGTGTGGCAGTGTATGTGTATATGTGCATATATCTCAGCATTCAAACACAACACAACACTACACACAAATAAACACCTACATGCAAACGTCAACACTACATACAAACACACCCCTGCATTCAAATGTCAACACTACATACAAACACACCTCTGTATCAGACACCAAAATTATATATAAACACACACCTGCGTTCAAAAACCAACACTACACATAAATGCATGCTTGCATTCAAATGCAAACACTACATACAAACACACCGCTACAATCATACAAACATACTCCATACAAACACATGCTTACAGTCAAACACACAAATACTGCTCCATGCTAAATACAATCCTGCAAGAATGGGGAATCGGTAGAGCCCCAGCTTTCAAAGCATTGTTGAAGTTGCACGACAGATGGGGATCTATCTTTTAGCTATCCTGTGTACATACACAGACCGTCATACAGAGACATACAGTATCTATGTCTCTGTATGACTGTGTAAATGTATTCAAAAGGAATAAACGCAGGCAACACTCCAATAGTAAGGATGGTATATTTATTGATAGGTGAACCACCCCAAAGAAAGTGCGTCGTTTCGGCTCAGCAGAGCCTTATTGCATGAGCTGAAACATCACACTTTCTATGGGGTGGTTCACCTACCAATAAATATACCATCCTTACTATTGGAGTGTTGCCTGCGTTTATTCCTTTTGAAGACTTTACTGGTGGATCCAGCAATGTCTGCCTGACATGGAGCATCCACCTCTGTTGATGGCCGGAGCATTTACACGGTGTCAGTGTGCAGGGTTCTTTGTTTGTCTGTGTATGTATGTCTCTGTATGCCTATCTCTGTTTCTTTATGTCTGTGTATGTATTTCTGTGAATGCCTGTGTCTGTATGAATGTATGTCTGTGTTTGTACGACAATGTACCTGTATGTGTAGATTGTATGACTGTGTTTGTTTGTGTGCCTTTTATGACTGTGTGTCTGTATATCTTTGTGACTGTGTGCCTGAAAAATTATGTCTGTGTGCTTGTATGGTTGTGTGTCTGTATGTTTGTGTATTTGTGCATGTATGTATTTTAGCCTGTATCTATGTCTATGTGGGAGAAAAAGAGAGATAGATAGGGGCTGGCAGGGAAGTAAGAAATACATAATAGGGGTTGTAGGAGACACACTAAAGGGGGGTGTAAGGCACAAAGGGGCCAAAGGGGTAAGACATTCAAGAGAGTGGATATGCAACACTAATGGGGGTAAGAAATTCAAAAGGGGGCTACGAGACACAGAGGTGAAGATGCATTGTTTATTTATTTTTGGGGGGGGGGGGGCGTCAAAATGCATCTTCGCCTGTGTAGTCAAAAATCCTAGCACCGGCCCTGCCTTCCTGCGCACACGAGGGGTCAGATTAATAATTTACCTAGACGATATCCTTCTCCTGTCTCAATCTCAATCCCAATTACGTGTTCATTTGTCTTGGACAACCCACCTTCTCCAGAATTTAGGATTCTTGGTGAATTGGGAGAAATCAGTTCTTCAACCCTCCAAATGCATGGAATTTCTGGGATTTCAAGTGGACTCTGTACAACAGAGGTTGTGTCTACCCAAAGACAAAATGATTTAGATCAAGAAAGAGATCAGACGACTTATGAATCGTACGACCATTTCCCTCAGACAACTTGCGAGTATCATAGGGCTACTGGCAACGTCCATACATGCAATCTTCCCGGGCCCGTTACATTATCGTGCCCTACAAAGGCTCAAGGCCTCATATCTGTGCTGCGGACACTCGTACGAAACCTGTGTTACACTGGACGAAGATTCCAGAGAAGAATTGACATGGTGGCTAGCCCACATGGAGGCGTGGAACGGACGGGCGATATTCGGGTCTACGCCAGCTTACACGGCTGGGGCACGCATTGTGGATCAGTTTCCACCGGTGGCAGATGGTCCAACGAAGAAATGTTGGTACACATCAACTGCCTGCGGCATCCTTTGCCATTCGCAGCATGACTCCCACAGGCATCTCATGCTCTATCCTAATCAAGATGGACAACGTTTTGGCGGTGCGTTATATCAACCACCTAGGAGGAACAACACGAATGTTCTGGCACTGATGGCTCAAGATTTTTGGCACAATTGTCTAAAACACAACATTTCGGTAATAGCGGAATATATCCCAGGACGGGACAATGCACTGGCGGATTGGAATTCTCGATATCTTCGAGACGCAGGGGATTGGCATCTCCACCCAATGATCTTCCAACGTCTCTCTTGACTTTGGGGGCCTTTCAACATAGATCTCTTCGCGTCTCGACTGAACACCCAACTCCCTCGGTTCTTCAGTTGGAGACCGGACCCAGATGCTCTGGCGACAGATGCATTCTTACAAGACTGGACCAAGGGCAAGAATTACGCTTTTCCATCTTTCAACCTAATCTCTCGGACCCTTACATCCCTTCGATATTCCAAAGGGACTCTAGTTCTGATAACCCCGATATGGAGGTCACAACCTTGGTTTCCACAGTTATTAGAAATGTCGATAGATTTCCCACGGCTGTTGCCAGACATACCCTACCTCCTGACCAATCCAGAGGGAATGAGTCACGAGTTGATCTATCAGGGTCTACTTCATCTGATGGCATGGCTCCTTTCAGGAGAACATGGAATCTCTAGGATGATTCGCAGACGACACTCAGTCTCTTGGCAGAGTCTTGGGCACCAGGTACCAGACGTTCCTACAGGTCAGTTTGGAGGAAGTGGACTGATTGGTGCGTGGGATAATCAGTGGATCCCATATCAGCTCCTGTGAAAACAATCTTACAATTCCTGATTCTACTCTTTGAAGAAGGAAAAGCCTTTTGGACTATAAATCTGTACAGATCAGCCAAATCGGCGAGACATATGGGATTGGATGGTACTCCAATAGGTAAACATTCCCTCATCTGTCGTTTTGTTTACTTTCATGTAAACGGGTTGCTGATGTCAGAGCACTGGATTGGCAAGCACGCGCTTTTGTTCCGAACGGAGTATCCTTTAATATTTCAGTTAGGACGAAGTCTGCGACTAAGAAGGTTTTCTACCCGTCGTTTCTAGACAACCCAAATCTGTGCCCAGTGTTATGCCTTAAGGAATACAAGCGCCGCACGAGCTCGCTCCGTTCTGATCGAACCTATCCATTATTCATCTCGTTCAGAGTACCTCATCTACCAGTACCTACTCCTACTTTAGCTCGTTGGATCAAATGGCTATTATCCGTGGCAGACATAGACACTTCAATTTTCTCCTCACACTCCATTCGCGGGGCTATGGCTTCATGATAGGTTGTAGATTGGAAGACATCCTACGAGCAGCTGATTGGTCGAATGAGTCTACGTTTCGTAATTTCTACTTTCGACCGGTGCAACATATTTCCAGTTTGGTGGTTGCTCAGCTTTAAAATAGCATAATAGGAGCCTCCGTGTCTTTAATAAAATTCCCAGATTTTACTTTTAACATGATGTAAAGTCATGATTTTATTAATGACACGGAGGCGAGTATTATTCCCACACGGCCTACCCAGGGTGGTGTTTAAGTTACAGGTCAGTCATGGGACCTTTGGAATGACACAATACGGTAGGTACAATGTCATACACGAAACGAAGGGGAGTATAGTTTGTGATGAATATACTTCTATGATACTTATAGTGTTGGAATAACATAGTGGACGAGTTGGATAACTGTGGAATATCAGTCGCAAGTCTCGATATTACCATATATTTCTTCTTTTTTAGCTTGAATACACCTGTGAGAGTTGGCGGTTGAAGTTGTTCCCTGTTGAATTTCCGGTAATGGTTTTGTTTTGGGAATTCGAGTTTGTTGGAATATTTTGGAACTTACAATATGGTCTTTCGGGATCTACGCAGAAAGAGGAGGAGTCAAGGAGCACCACACCCATATGGATAGTACTGGATGCTGATTGGTGCCACTGTTACCAGGCTGTTATGTTTTTTTCTATGATTCTCTCATACTTCCTTTTCTTGCTGCTGGGAGTATAATAAAGAAAGAGAATGCATAATACTCGCCTCTGTGTCATTAATAAAATCATGACTTTACGTCATGCTAATAGTAAAATCTGGGATGTGTATTTCACTTATCAGTTTTATTTGACAATAGTTCATACATTAGTGTATTTATGTCATTATTATATTATCTGTTATACTATTTAAAAAAAAAACAACATTAATAAATATATTAGACTTGAAAACATTTTATCTGCATCGATCCAAGTCTTACGTCCAACTAAGATATCTGACATCCATCTAGAACTCCATTGGTGGCTTCACAATACAGATGCATAGAATGAGACATCCATCTTGTTCTGCGGTCGTATTGCAGCCTTCTTGGGCTGGGGCGCGACTTGCTCCAATCTTTCAGTTGTAGGTCTTTGGTCCACAGCAGAGCAAGACCTTCATCATATAAATTGCCTGCAACTGATTACGGGCTCTTTTGCGATCCAAAGTTTTGCGAATGACGCTTTCAACTGTTCTCTAGTGCTGCAGATAGCCAATATCTCTGCAATCCGCTACGTGAATAGTCTAGTGTAAATCGAAATCCAAACTGTTCTATGACCTCAAGAAAGATTTCAATCAGTTCTGTCTGGACAGAAATCTTTCTAATCGAGCAGAATACATACCAGGCCCAGACAATCTGGTTACAGATTGGTTTTCCAGTCACTGGAGGGTTGCCAGCGATTGGTAGCTAGAACCTCAACTGTTTAACCACATTCATCTCCTTTGAGGGCCCCTCACACTGAATCTATTTGCATCGTCAAACAGATGCCTTCTTCAGCTGGTTGCCGGACCCTCTTTCCCTGGCAACTGATGTGTTCCTTCAGCAGTGGCCATCAACAAGAGTATATGTTTTCCCTCCCTTCTCCATTATCCCGTGAACTCTTCACCAAATCAGAATTCAAAGAGTTACGATAGTCCTGGTAATTCCTTTAGGGAAAGCCCAGACATTCCACTCGATTATTGCATCAGACCATAGATGTACTCAGGAACTCGGCAGCCATCCGCTCACCCTACAAGGCCACCTCCACCTCGTGGGCTTGACCATTTCAAGGGATTTTGGCATGCTGCAGGACTTTCGAGCACAGCTAATGTGTGGGAAGGAATATTAATTCCTTTTCAGCATCTCTCGCACAAATGTTGTACTTCTTATCTTTGTTGTTCAACCAAGGAAAATCATGTCGCTCCATTAAGGTCTTTCGATCCGCCTTCTCGGCAGATCATATCCAGATTGATAATTCTCCAGTGTGCAAACACTCTTCTGTTTGCAGATTTTTACGTGGCATACGTCTGGCCAGACCTTCTATTCCCAGATACCCCAATTTCTGGGATGTCGCTCAGGTTTTCTCATTTTTGAAATCCTGGCCATCTAACGATACCTTGTCTATTCACCAGCTCTCTGCTAAGATGGCTCTTCTTCTTTGTCTAGTGCCTGTCTGCAGAGTCTCAGATATTAATTTCTTCGATTTCCACACTATATTTTATGCACCGGATGGAATATGCTGAACCATAATGAGACGCACTGGTTCCTTTATTCTGATTTTCTGTTTTGCATTTTTACTAATACATAGGCCTAATGCTAATGGCTAGTCCAGTTTTTTTTAACTCCTGTTGATTTGAAACAAGTTTATTTAAACCATTTACAATACAGCTGGCTCAGTCAGAGTTAGAGTGTCTTAAATTCCATATCAAGTGATATTAATTTGTGTTTCTCTTGTTCAAGAGACCATACTTTCACAATGTTTATCTTTGTTTATAGTATGAAGACTTTTTTATCTCTATTTGGGGATTCTCCACACGTTTCTGGACTAATGGTTTACATGGTTGGCTACTGCTGATCGGCCAACTCAAAGAAAGAGGAAGGGGGAGGAGTCTGATTGCACTATATGTTATTGAGATACATTCTAATTGGTTGATTTTTTTTTTAATCCACATTGTTAACTGTTACTTTGCTGCTGGGAGGTTTCAGTAAAGAAGGATAAGCAAAATAGTTGCCTCCTGTCTTTAATAAAATTTAGATTATTCGGTCACGGAGCAAGAATAATCCCTAATTCTCACTTTAGTAATATGACCCTGGCATCTCATTGATCAGGCCAATCAATATTTGTTTGATTGGACTGAATTGTACGGTTTGCAGATGCACAGCTTGATTGTCTATGTACTCCCATAAACAATTTTCCCTCTAAAGCAAGTACATGACTACATTTATCGGTGTACTATGTTTTAGCCTTACTTGGTTAGGGAAATTTGTGACTGTGATTTGACTGTGAACACAAACTTTATTGCAAGATTTAACAGAACATAAGACTTCTGCTCTGCAGGCACTACTTGTGTGTGTGTGTATATCTATATGTTCCAGACCCAGTACACTGGAATTGGTGAAGATATTGCTTTCAGGATGGAACTAATTTTGCTAAGCTAAATAGCTAAATAATCTTTACCCCATTTCCCTCTTATATTGCATATACAATGTGTTCAGACCCCTTAATTTTTTAATGTTGTAGCCGTATGCTAGGAATACTTTAAAAATAAAATTTCACATCAATTTACACTCAATACTCCATCATGACAAAGGAAAATAAACTGATCTGTGACACAAATGCATTAAAATATTACAATATATTATATATAAAAATATATATATAAAAAAATAGTTGTCAGTGATAGCACTCCAAGGACTATAAGTAAAATATAACTTTTATTACCTCCACTAAAACAGTACAGTCAAAGTTTCAGCTTGATCCCCTCAAGCTTTCGTCAGGACATGAGGGGATCAAGCTGAAACGTTGACTGTACTGTTTTAGTGGAGGTAATAAAAGTTATATTTTACTTATAGTCCTTGGAGTGCTATCACTGACAACTATTTTGTATTTTTGGCTGACAAGCACCGGGCACTTAATTTGGAATTGGTGGAGTGCAAGATTTATTGGATTATATATATACACCCATACATACATACATACATACATATATACACACACATTTTTTATTTTACACAAAAAAAGCTGAAATTGTGTATATTGGCATAAGCATTAAGGACTTTCAATGGACACTCCACTGCCCAAACTAGAATGATAAACAAATCACGGTTTGGTAGATAAAACCCAAATGAAAACATTTTTTTGTGTAGGGGGCATATCTAAAACAGATTGCAAAAGGGGCAGATCTCTTTCTCATCCCTTTGCAAGCCCTCCCCCTCTTCCCCAGCCTGGACTTTCTGTTACTGTTCTATTACAGTCTTCCCAATGCAGCTCAATGAGAAGTTTTTGTAAGACAGGAGCTTGCAAAGAGATCAGAGAGATCTGCCCCTTTTGCATTATTGTAGATATTCCCCCATACAAAAACAAAATAAAAATTTAATTTGGGTTTTATCTACCAAACCGTGATTTGTTTATCATTCTGATTTGGGCAGTGGAGTGTCCATTTGAAGTCCTGAATACTTATGCCAATATACTCAATTTCAGCTTTTTTCTCTGGGTAATTTTTGCTTCTTAAGCTTAGCACCACTGAGCTAAACTATCAAATAATAAAAACTGTTATCTGATTTACAACCAGGGAGGTGTAACAAGGTTAGTTTATAAAAGTGCCAATTTCCATTGAAATGTGCAATTTTTGAAAAGGGAGAGAAAAAAGAAAAAACCATCACACATAAAGCAGTTCAGCAAGCTGAAGTCTTTAAGAGTCTAAAGTGTTCATTTAACCCAATAATTTGTTGAAGCAACGTTGGCAGCGATTACAGCTTCATGTATTTTTGGGTATGCTGAGAGAAGTTTTGCAGACGTGCATTTGGGTAGTTTATGTCATTCATCCCTGCAGATCCTTCTGAGTTCTGTTAGGTTGGATGGGTCCTTTGGTGGACAGCCATTTTCAGGTCTCTCCAGAAATATTCGATTGAGTCCTACTCCAGGCTGTGGCTGGGCCACACAAGGACATTTACAGAGATGTCCCTGAGCCATGCTTGTGTCATTTAGAGTCATTGTACTCTTGGAAGCTGAACCTTTGGCCTAGTCTGAGGTCATGATCGCTCAAAAAGAGGTTTTTATTAAAAGATACTCTGACCAGTCTCCCAGTCCCTGCCGCTGAAAAGCACACCCACCACGCTTCACTGTTGGGATGGTACTGTACAGTTGATGGCAGTGCCTGGTTTCCTCCATACATGACTCTTTAAAGAAAGGCCAAACTGTTTAAAGCTCTTTTTATTATACAAGAGAATCTTGTTTCTCACAGTCTAAAAGACCTTTAAATGAGACTTTTCTTTTTTCTTCAAGTTGCAGGTGGCCTTTCATGTCTCTTGCAGTAAGGAGAGATTTGCGTCTGGCCAGTCTGCCATAGAGGCCAGATCAGTGTAGAAAAAACCCCAGAACTCTGAGAATGGGCACAAGCTTAGAGAAGCCTCAATAGCATGCACTTTGGAGTCCCCACTCAAGTCTCAAGCATATCTTAGCTCATGTGCCATTAGGGAAAGAACCTATACCATTTGCATATCAGACTTATCCCACCCATAAGAGTAGTCCTGATCCAAAATCATGGCAAATGCCCCCCGCACAGTAGATACAGCAAACAAGCACAATTGTTTCGGCCTTCTATGGCCCTTGTCTGTCAGGTGTACAGATCAGTGGAGTGTTGTTTGTCCTGCACATTTCTCCCACCTCCATACATGTTCTCTGGAGCTAACCCAGAGTAACCATATCCCCAGATTGCTCAAGTCGGCCACATGGCCAGCTATAGGAAGACTTCTGGTTGTTCCAAAATTAAACCATTTAAGAATTATGAAGGTCACTGTGCCTTTGGAGACCTTTGATGCAGCCAAAGTTTTTTTGTATGCTCCCCAGATCTGTATCTCGACACAATCCTTTCTCTGAGCTTTGCAAGCAGTTAATTTTACCTCATGCCTTGGTTTTTGCTCTGATATGTATTTGCAGCTGTAAGACCTTATATAGACAGGAGTGTACCTTTCCATATCATGTTCAAGTAATTGAATTTGCCACAGGTGGAGTCCAACCAAAGTGTAAACATATTCACTTAGATGATTCAGAGAAATTTAATGCATCTTAGCCAAATTCACAGTGTCCTAGCAAAGGGTCTGAATACTTACATTAAGGAGATATCTATTTTTTTTCTTTTTAATACATTTGCAAAGTTTAAAAAAAATATATATCTTTTTTTCTGCTTTGTTAATATGGGGAGTTTATATGAATTCAAAAAAATATTTAGACAGTTGTAGCATAAGGCTGCAACATAAAAATATAAAGTGGTCTGAATATTTTGTGCATGCAGTGTATGTATATTTTTTATGGACTCCCTTTGTAAACGTCAGTGTGCCTTTTAAGCCGTGGAAGACTTTGTGTTTGGAAATCTCTTTAGTTATGTCAGAGGTAGCATGTCCTTGGTTCTTAAGTGGCTATGGACTAGAGTTTTCCAGTGCGTTTTTTTTTTTTTGGTAACATCCCAATTATTTTATGGTAATGAAAGGAACACAGGCTGTAGTAGTCATGGGACTATACCGTAGTTTGCTTTCCTAGGATGAAATTCACCTTGTAATAATGACAACAATTGTGTTTGTTTTTTGCAGGTATTTATCAGTGAAATGTCTTTAAAGGGACACTATAGTAACCAGAACAACTACAGCTTATTGAATTTGTTCTGGTGAGTAGAATCATTACCTTCAGGCTTTTTGCTGTAAACACTGTATTTTCAGAGAAAATACAGTGTTTACATTACAGCCTAGTGATAACTTCACTGGCCACTTCACAGATGGCTGTTAGAGATCCTTCCTGGGTCATGGCTGCCTAAAATGCATCCAAACATTCAGTGTCTCCTCCCTCTGCATGTAGACACTGAACTATCCTCATAGAGATGCATTGATTCAATTCATCTCTATGAGGAGATGCTGATTGTCCAGGGCTGTGTTTGAATTGTGCTGGCTCTGCCCCTGATCTGAATCCTTGTCACTCTTAGGCAGTTGCTATTCTGAGTCTATTCTGAGACTCAGTTGCTATTCTGAGTCTAAAAGCATGCAGAGTTACAGCTTCAGTCTTGAATACAAGTAAGATTTTGCTATTTTTATAGAGGCATGAGGTGCCCAGATGGGGGGATGCATGTTTTGTTCCTGACCCTATAGTGATCCTTTAAGGTTCTCAAATCCTTTTAGCAGGCCTACATTATTATGCAATATTTCACTTGATTCTATCATATGAGGAAATCTCTGAACGTTAAGATTCACTTCTTGTGGCTTGTTCGATTATACAAAATGGACTTTGCATCTTTCCAGCTAATACATGGCTTTAAACTGTGGCATCATTTGTGTACAATATTCAATTGTAGCTTGTTTAGAACAAATTATTTAGTTTAATCTAATTTGTCTTGTGAATTATATTCTTGGATTGATGTTCATATCTTTGCAGACAAAACAGGATTTATAAATGACCATTGGTTCTGCCATTTAGAAGTAAGTCACACATCACAATCTCAGGACAAGGTCAGCATAAATAAGTGTTGCATTTATTTATTTTTAATAAAGATCAACTTAATATCTTGACTAAATATCTGACTTTAGGGTTTGGTGCTGTAATGCCCCTTATTTTACGGATTACCACATTTTCATTGGTGCCATGCCCACTGTGATTTACACCTTTTTATTGACTAACCATATATTTTTTTTTTTATCTATAGAATGGTTTCTTGTCCACACCAGGGGAAAGATATACAAAGGTAAAAATGGTACTATTTTGAGGGAAAGTATTAAATAAAGGAACAATTATCATGGAAATCAACAGAATGTCTCTCAATATACTGGTTTTCTAACTATACAGTACTGTCTTTGGAATCCTTCCCTGCTGTTCTGAGTTTATTACCTGGTATCCTGCTTTTGAAAATACCAGAGAACTCTCCCCAGAAAATGGAGTGCAACCCAGGTCAGCTTACATATCTCTGGTTATTTAAATGTGCATAGGGATTTGGGATAGTGTTTCTTGAGTTACAGATTGCCTAAAATTGAGGGGGTGATTTTGTTTAGTAAAAATAATTTCAGAGTTTTGCTTTCTGTCTTTTCTATAAAGTCTTTCCTAAGGAAAACAAACTTACCTATTTGTTATTCTTGCCTTATTAAATGACCAGGAAGTTAAATTATAGAAACAAATTTTCCTTTATATCTTCATTCATACTGGCTCCTTGGATTACTGAGCTCTTTATATCCCAAGTGGACTAATCTTGGACCCTTTTCCATAAACACTGGAATAAGATTAAATATGAAATAAAGCAATACACAAAATAATAAAGACAACTGGACTATATAAATCTTAATAGTGCACATTGTTACTTGCATAGCAATATAGGGACAGCTATTCTTTTTCTGAGACAGATGATGGTTAAATACAGTATGGGCCATCCCACAATTCAGTGGATTAGAGTTTATCTATAGAATAATCCAAACCTGGAGCAATATTACAGAGGATAACATTGCTAAATTCAGTATCTACAGATTAAGCCAACACAAATTCCAAGAAATCATATACAGTTTACGCACTAGGTTTTCAAAACAATGACTAAAATTAAATGGAGAAAACACATTTATATTAAAAACATTTATATTAAGAAGAATTTGAATAGCCGGTTCTTAAAATGAGAAGAAGAGAGAGAAAAAAACAAAAAACACTCTATGGTCATGAAATAGATTTATACAGACTCAGGAAAAGGATCTTCATACACTATGGCAGTTATACCTCTAGATGCAATTGCTACCAAAAATACAGTCCATTTATATAACTGATTTATGTACAACCAGTGCAAATGGTATGGCTTTCTAAAGCATTGTAAGACCATCTTTTTTCCTTATCTAAAATAAAAGCCTGTGTTAAGTGTTATGGCCTCTTTTGTATTATTTTTCCATATATACATATATTCAAAAGATTTATTTTGGCTTATCATTGTTCCATGAAGATTGCTATTTTTAAATCCACTTTGATCAATTTACCAATTATCCAACCAAAGCCCATACTGGTAATGAAGAGTTAGTGTACATTACCAAATCCAGATGTGCATCAGTTTGGGCATAATTCTAACAAATACATGATGCTCTTATCAAACAGGACTTTCACAAAACAAAGGTAAAACAGTAGTTGCAGTGGAAAGATGTCTTTATCTCTATGTATGAATGGCAAACAGATGAAACTTAATGATATACAAATATAATTTATTTTATTTTATTTTTATTAAGAATATTTAACTTTTTTTTTCTGGCTAAACAGCCATTTGGGTCCAACTTATCTTACCAGCTGCTGCTCGGTCTAACTTGTCTGCTGTTGCGAGTGCTGTGTGTGAAACTACACCAGGCTCAGGCAGATAAACCAAAAAAGTGACATTTTCTAAAGATCAATATACAGAATTTAAAATAAATATATATGTATACACACACAAGTTTCACTGTACTGTAAGTTTAACTGTAATAAACAAAAATTGACAGTTGTCTGTTTTTAGTAACACGTTCTCCTTATTTACTAAAGTGAGAATTATCGGGATTAAAAGTGAATTTCACATTTTAGCCTTTAGTAGCTGAATCGTGGTCTTAAATTTGGAATTAACGACAATACTTATTTTTAGTAAAAAAGTGTTAGTTTCCACCCAAATTCTACAAAAAAGGAATGTTTGTGTATTAGCAAAAATAAATGATACGCCAACTCAAGGTGTCCAGTATTTTTTTTTTTTTTTTTAAGATATGACAAACAAAAAAAAAAAAATTTCAAATTCCAAAACAAATCTCCAACATTTCTCCCCTCTCCCTCCCCCACTATGAAATATCTGATATTGCACCTAATTGGGGCCATGCAGGGACCCATTAAACACACATTTTCCAGTTTTCCCAATTTAAATGAAAACAAAGCAGACATGCTGTCTTTTTGGAAGTTTCCACACTCCCGAGGCATCCTGCCATCATGAACCTTTTCACTGCAAGAGCAACCCATTTCTGAGGAATGTGTCACACTACTCAGTGGGTATTAAGAGCCCTAGAACCGCACGCTGATTAATTTTACCACGAATCTCAGGCAATTACAGTAAAGAACAACTGGGACACTAGAATCCAACAATTCCTGTTCCTCTGGCAGTGAATGGGTGGAAGCATCCAGTGTCATCGCTTAGAAACCCACCCATAGGTTATAGAAGGGTTACATAACTATAGTGTTTACATACAAAAGAACCATTAACACTCACTCTCTTCACTGCAACATGGTAGAGAAAAAAATATATCTACAAATATTTATAAAAATATACCCGCTTCACTTACACTTTCCTGGGCCAGAACATAAATTGCAGCACATTGTTTTGTAATCTGTTGCAGCCAGTCCCAGCAACTATGGGGTTAAATAAAGGATAATAAGCGAATGAACATGACAGGTTACTACATCTGTTCGCTTATTTACAATAAATAAATATGTTCTAACAGGAAACAAATAATATAGAAGATCTAGAAAGGCAGCCTAACAACAGGCAGCAGTATATAGAGTCTTCAGAGCACCAAGCAGACATACTCTTAAAATATCCTAGACTGTCCAGCTTGGTTTGAGAGTGTCAGAAATTGTGCCAGAGCTATAGGAGATCATTAACATGTAAAAAAACAAAAACAAAAAAACCTTTGAGTATCATTTAGTAATGTGCCAAGTATCTGACAGGTATCTCAGGCTGTCCAAATCATCATAGTATGGAAAGATCATGATAGAGAGGACATAATGTGTTGCATGCAAATGACTATATCAGTTTTGCAATATATGTCCTCTGAAGTTAGATTCCTGAAGGCTTACATTTCCTATTCTCTCAATCAATATAAGACTTGCAGATGTCTTCAATACATAACAACATCTAATTGCATCTATATCAAAATAAATTTGTAAATATATGTTCATATCTACTGAGAGTTAAAGGGTTGTTCACTTTGTGTGAATTGACAGTAATTCAATTAATTTTATTTTAGTTCAGTTTGGCCTAACATTTCTAAAAAACAAAACGAAACAAATTTCACACAGTCTGAAAGTCTTAAAATTTGGAAACATTTTTACAAAAGCAAAGCCTATTTTCTGCAGTGTTGAGATGGAGTGTTGGGCTTTCCTAAAATAGTTAAATTGTCAGTAACGGCCTGTTTCCTAAAATAGTTGTAGGCATTTCCTGACAAGTTTCACAAGGGACCAGCTACACTAGGAGCTCGAGTAGGACATGAATGTTATTCCATTAGTAAGCTTATTGTAACTTGAAAAGAATTAAAATATGCAGATCTACTCCTGTTAAAATGGTCCCTGTAACTATGGTGGAGTACAGCTTTGTTACCTATTACAAGTTTGAGAATTGGTTTTTCCAGTTTAAGTTCTAAAGTTTTTATAAATGTAAAAGTAAACTAAAATAAGATCAACTGGGTAAAAGATAGCAGCTGGGTGTACAAGTGATTTAGAAAGCAATTGGGTTCTGCCAATAAAACACAATTTTAAAGTTTCTGGTATTTACTATCTGCTGTTATTTACCACTTTGCTGAAAACAGCTACAAATTAAATGTTCTTAGGAAGTAATTTAAAAAGACCAAAATATACGTTGCCACCATTACTTTGGAGACTAAATTATAGCAATAATCTAAGCACCATAAAGACTACGTTGCCATTGTTTGACAATTACCCATGTTCCATTTATGGACTAGCGTGTATTCAAATCCACCTAAGTCCATAAATTAATTCCATCTAAACAGGGTTGGAATTAATATACCTAATGTGGAAGGGGTACTTCCACTGAAGGTACATGTGACAGGGAGCAAAACCTCTAGTAGGGTCTTCTGTTTTAGTGATAACTGAAGGGGAGATACGACCAGAGGCACCCAGGGGAACCAGGTAACCAAACAATTCAAACTAATTTTGACTACTTACTGTGGGCAAGAGCATTCATGTGGTGGTTATGGTGCTTAAACCATCAATTTAATTTACAAATTATAACATTTTCCAGAAATGTTTAAAAGGTTAAATTCTGGAAATGCCATGCTAGTTGAAAGGGATTCTCCAGTGCCAGGAAAACAAACCCGTTTTCCTGGCATTAGAGGATCCTGGAGTGATTCCCCCCCCATCCTACGTCGCTTAAGAGGTTATAACCCCTTCAGACACTTACATGAATCCAGCGCCGATGTCCCTCGGTGCTGGGTCAGGCTACGCCCACGCTCCTCCCATGCCGGCGGGAGAGACCTAATGTGCATGCGCAGCAATGGCCGCGCACGCGCATTACAACTCCCCATAGGAAGCATTATTCAATGCTTTCCTTTAGGGATTCTGGCGACACTGGAGGTCCTCATGCACAGCATGAGGACGTCCAGCGCTGTTTAGACGACCAAAAGTCGTCTAAGAAGCCGGAAGTCCCTCTAGTGTCTGTCTGGTACACAGCCACTAGAGGAGTACTTAACCCTGCAAGGTAAATATTGCAGTTGATAAAAACTGCAATAATTACACTTGCAGGGTTAAGGGTAATGGGAGTTACCACCCAGACCACTTCAATGAGCTGAAGTGGTCTGGGTGCCTACAGTGTCCCTTGAAGTCAGCGAGTTTGTTTACTGGTGAAAACATGGTTTCTAATTCCTGCCTCTGAAATTAAAGAATATCTGTCAGTCAAGAGAAATTTACAGTAATCAATATTGCAAAACCTGTTGTATTTGTTGAATATGAAATAAAATATACATTTAAAAAAAATTGCATGTGTGGCTATAATGGAAGAAAAAGTGAACTGAAAGCCAAACAGGGCCAAGGCAAATAGATAAGGTATGGTCTACATAGTAAGAATCACAAATAGAAAGTGGTATCAAATAGGCAAAGGGGGGGTAGAGTTTGGATCCCTTAATACACAATCTTTAACTAAGTGAACAATGAGTTCTGGTCAGTTAAAATAAAATCTTAAAAAGTATATACTGCTATTTCACCGCTGTCAGACTGATGTAAAATAACTGATTTTATATATTTAAAAAACAACAGCTTTTAAAACCCATGTGGCACTTTGAGATATTTAAATAGCGATGCTATGGAAGAGATGTGTAAATCATGTATGTACCTAGCAACATTTTACTGGTCTAAATCTTTTTTTGGACCCACTAGGCCTCAAATTTGAAACCAAACAATTTTATGCATGATGCAAGAAGCAAAGATCACTTTAAGATAGTCTGTATTATTTTTAGCCAACTGTGCTTTCCATATCAAGGGAGAAGCAAATGGCACACGTCATTCATGTACGAGTGTCTCTCTCCATATTTAGAAGTGTCCTATATTCTGAAGAATTACTTGTACTTTTGAAGAATTATGGACAGTGCGTACAACAACTTTGAATGGGAGAACAGGGACTAGCAAAGAGATACTGGAAGTACCTGGTTTAGTGTCACTCACTGAATATTGAATATACAGAATAAAGGCTCTGATGCAAATGTAAAATGCTACCTCCCCCCCATACACCTTTTGTTATACTTCTTTTCCTAAATGCACTGTTAGCAATAAAGTTTTTTGTTTTTTTTAATCAGCTTTGCAATTGATGCAGACATTGGGAAAAATTAGTGGGGGTAGATCTTTCTAATTATGGTCTGCAGAGAACTTTTAATCTAAAATATATTTTTGTATTTAAATCTAATAAAAAATATTTAAAACACCTGAATTTTTTTCTATTAACAAAGCCCAGATGCAGGTTTTTGTAATTGCTGAGTAAATTCATCTTAGTTGACAGATCTTTTAACTAGTTATCTAATAATTGAAGGTACACTCTGGAGACCATAGTAACCTCATGGGAATTAAGTTGTTATGGTGCCAAGAGATACCTGGCTACTGCTTACACTTTAATCCAGTATTCAGCACCCAATTGCATCTGTCCTTCCTCTGCTCAGATTATTGAATGGGAAACCTTAGTTAAGGGGTGCTATATATTGGCTAAAAAGTGTCAGCTAGACTTTACTAGACTGTAGTTATATAACAAATAGAGGGAAGCCAATACGACACATGCACAACAGTTAGCTCTCATCGATTTAAGTGGACAAGTAATGTGCATTGTCTGTAGTGGACACACTACTGTAAACTTACTACAACTTTAAAAAAAAACAAAAAAAAACACAAAACCATTTATTAGCAAGCTAAAAAGATTTGTGTATCTTGTATCTAGTAAATATAGTGTAGTGTCCCTATAAGGAACACAGAGGCCTCTACACGCTTATTCTCAAACATTTTTGTTGCTAAATATCAGCTACAATGCTGGGCACACAACCTAGGTCTCTGGTGTGTGCTTATTAAATAGGAGTAATCTAGGAATAAAGGTTTAATTAACATCACTAGTTATAATCCTAATAATATCCCTATTGTTTTGCATCAAAACTCTCTACTGTTTAATTCTGTCATTGCATGGAATTTGGAGAGGCCTGCGGAGGAGAAAAAAAAAAAAAAAAAAAGAACCAAACACAAACCCAAGCAGTTCAGCAGAGAGATGGCGCTCCACAGCCATGTGAACACTGCAGATTAATTGGGAGATCTCAAAGGCATAACAATGTTGGAATAAGCAACTGGCACAATTGAAAAAAAATGGCAGCAGGGCTTATAACAGTATATTAACCTGCAACAAAGTTACTGAACTGAAGACTACTAGAGTTCTCCTCTATTAACAGGACATACAGGTGTCGCAAGTACATTACATAATTATTAGAAAATGGAACTATCTTTCAAGCCTTTGGGAATAATAATAATAAAAAAAAAATATATAAATAGTGATACTCCTTTTGTGAAGCTACAGATGATATTCTGCTTGTTCTTCCATAGAGAGTCCATTGGATTGCCATCAGGCTGTCTATGACATCTTCACCTGAATCAGAACTCATCATCAGAGCTCAAAAGCAGGGTTTTCTCTGTGTCTCGGGCCCCAGAGAGACTCTGTGAACGGGAGATAATCTGCCCATTGCGCCAGGTTGTGCCCTGCTCCAAAGTGGATTGCTGTGTGTACTGCTGGTAGGCTGGAGAGAAGTTATGGATTGCGTCTTGTACAATGTCATGAGGATTCATGGTCTCCTTCAGGCTGCTCGAAATGCTTTTCATTGGTGCGCAACGACCTGTACAAGAATAAAAAAAAAAAAAATGCAATTTAATTTGCCAATACCTAAATTCGGAGACCCCTGCAGCAACAAAAATAATTCTAGTTGTATTTAATGCTCATCTTAACATTTTACAGGGATATTTTCCAATGTAGTGAAAAACTGACTGGGCTATTCCTCACAAAAACTTACAAAAAGTAGAAGCAAAGGAGAAAACTGTTAAAATGTAGCCCTTTAACCCCTTAAGGACACATGACGTGTGACATGTCATGATTACCTTTTATTCCAGAAGTTTGGTCCTTAAGGGGGTTAAATGATCTGTGTTAACAGTTTTATTCATAGTACTTTAATTTTGTCAAGTCAAAATGTAAAATCTGTTAAAAAGTACTTTTCGATATAGCTTCATAAAAGTAAATGCAATTTTTTAAAATGATTTTTTCATGAAATGTGTAACATACTAAGACATGCAAGTAATCATGTTCAAGGAATAGTCTAGGCACCACAACATACAGTTTTGAGTGGTTACACCAAAACTGTGGGTCCCTCAGGCACCTGCAAGCTAGTCCCAAACACTGGGATTTATAATGTGGGGTTGAACTTTCATATTAGTTTTATATAAATTTTACATTATTTCACCCATATAAAAACAGATTGAGTGCATCAGCTGACACGCTCAACCAATCAATTCCATCCATGTGCGGATTAAATTAATTGTGCTAATACAGAAAAGAAACCTCTGTACAGGCAATTCCAGAAAGCAATGCCTGCCTGTTAGTACTTTGGGCACAAGACCCAGAATAACCCACAATGGGAGACAGTGCCTGAAGCCTAACATCACCATAACCACAGCATGTAGAGCTGATGGTACTTAAAATGCCCCTTCTTGACAAACGTGCTCAACATATAAAAAAAACAAAAAAAACACCATGTTTTATAAGTATGCGTATGCAGTGCAAAATTCCATTTTTTATTTGTTTTGTTAAATACTAGTATGCCTTTAAAAATCTTATGGATATTTGGCATCTTAGGTCAGTACACTTGTAAATATTATTGCAGATATAGATCAGCCAGGGAAAAACAAAGGTGTTGCAGAGACAGAGCTGTACCTACCATAAGGCCCGTAAGTTGGAACTGCTGCAGCATAGAACCAGGGCAAAAAGCAAGAGATTAAAAAAAGAGAGAGAGAAAGGACAGATAAGGAAACACTGAGAAAGATTACATAGTGACATGTATCAGGTGACATGAGATTGTACACATCAGATGAGGCTCATATGTTGATGAGTCAAGTATGGTATGAGCCAGCCATCATCACAAGGGCCACATGCTCTCCCCACCCTCCCAGTACACTCCCTATCGTGACTCAGCACATTGTCATTCCTACCACATGTCTCTAAAAGCTGGATACAGAGAACTTGGAGCACAACAAATTGGAAACAAATTAAAAAACTGCCTTTTAGGTTGCATTCATTACACTTAAATTATCCACTGTAGATAACCTTATTTAACCTGTTTATTTCCAGTTTGGCCAAAGTGATATTCCAGTCATATATGCTGCAATAAGGTCGGGATTGTGCATTGCACAAAATTATTATTTTTACTTTCACATGGCACCAGTAGCAAGCTATATTTGCTGTAAATACAAAAGTCACTAAAACCTTAGCACCGCCCCCACTTGTCTTCCCCTTACAAAAAAAATAAATAGAGAAACAGACTCTGAAACATACTAGTCCATATATTTTCTATATTGAAGAACTGGCAAGGTGTTTCTAGCTGCAAGATGATAGATAGATGTCTGCTTCCAGTACTTGTATTAGTAATTCTCATTTTTTTCTCCCATGAATGAGGACGGCGAAAATAAAAGCGTATCAGTTCTGAAATATAGGTCTGGTGATCTGTACAGCAGAAATGGTATGAGCTGCAGAGATCCCAATGAGAGGTGAATGACTTGTTGAGGCGTCTCAGCAAAGTAATGGCCTCAGAAAACATTGTGCATTGTGTGGACTTAAGAGATTTGGTTCAAATAATCAATAGTTAAAGTAACTTTTTTTTTTTTTTTTTAATTCTTTATAAAAAGGAAAGGGATGCACTTGACTAGATAAGACGTTTTCGTAAAGGTAATTTTTATCAGTGACCACAAGGTGTCAGAATTCCTCAAAGACAGTGTAAATGCACTGTATACCATGAACAGATATCTATGCAAAGTTCAAAACATATGCTTTTGGCCTGTAAGATAAATGCATGAAATGTAAAAAAATGGAAACATAGCATTTTATCTTCAGCTACAGAGCTTCGATGTTACAATCAAAAACATGCATGCTTTACTCGTTAGTCACTCACCAATTCCTGCTCTGAAAGACTATTTTTTTTTTACATGTAATTAAGGGAGGGTACTCTTAATTGGTCTATAGTACCCATTTCATGAATGCATTTCAAAACAAACAAACATAGGGTACATGTGTAAGGAAAGATTGCACAATATATAAGAAGATATAAGGACTCTGACTCTTTGATGTAAGCCATGTCTTTCTTAATTTCTGTTCACTTTTAAAGATGGGCCTTTAAGATAAAATTAGATATGATAACTTGGACCAGTGTATGCTACCCTAAAGACTTCCCAAGATGCAAAGACAACCTTTAGTTCAATGTGAGATGAAAAAAAAAATAAAAAAAAATTCAGATTCGTTAGTTTCATTACAGTTTTAAAAACACAATTTGAAGAAGTTGAATAAAATACCTTACCGTGGGCAATACAGGGTGGTATTTTGGTAAGCCTGCATACAGAGAACAAATCCAGAAGGTAACTTGATTCTAGACAAGTGAAATCTAGATATATAGCACAGGTGAAACGGTCAGAACACTAGACAAAGACCGAGATTCTTGAGGTTCACCTGGTGAGAATTTGCAAGGCTGGTGACAGCAGAAGGCCAACGACAAAGTGTTTAATGAATAAATCAATGGCTGCTTGCAGCTAGAAATTCAGCTCAATTACTCTCATGGAAACCTTATGCCAGGTGTGAGATGGTAGCCCTTAGCAAACAACAGCCAAACAAAAACCTAAAACTAAAACATATGATCTTCAAAAACCCAGAATTTTTACCATAGATCCACATTTGAAATGCTTATATCAGTTAACCAGAAGTGTCAAACACTGTTCTCAAGGGATGAAATGGGCCAAAGTTTATTATTCACTAAACACAAAATTAAAGGTATTGCATCACAATTTTCTAAGAATCATTCTGACAACCGATTGTAAAAAATGTCTTAGCAGACTCTACACCAAATTGTTAGATGAGGTGGCTTTTGCTGTGTGTAGCCTTCCTCTATGATTGTTGATGGAAATGTTTAGTATGTATATCGCTTTTAGAACACATTTAATTTACTGTTTTTCTGGTTAACAATACGGTTCCATTTGGGACTGTCATAGACGTGCAATATTGGATCTGATACTATGGTGTATGATGAACATCTGACACACATTGCTAAAGTGTCCATACTAGTGTGAGGATATTCTCATGTGTTTATTAGGAATAATTCTAAGCAGATTTATATTTTTTAATATACTTTATAGAGATTGTCCCTCGATAGCAGGTACTTTTTGAACCTCGTAGGGAAACTGGATTTCCCTCGGTTGAGCATTGCATCTATTTTTAGTCGATATAAAAATACATAAGCATATCTAAATCCATCATTTGTAGTGGCCACCGTTATCTAATATTACATTAGTTGTCCATAGCTACGCTCATGATGAAGTAAAAAGTCTGCATTTTCAAAAAAGTTTATTACAAGAAAATGTAGGTTGATTAATTAAATGCATAAAAACAAAGTCTTTTGGAAAATAGTGCAATTCTTCCACTGAGAGCAACGTTTCATGCAAGAGACCCCGACAGCACAAGTAGCTTGAGTAAGTTATGTAATGGGAGTGATCTGTACTGACCTTGGGCATCCAGCCGTTTGTCCATGTAAACTTTGTATGTAAATGCATAACGCAGAGCTATAGCGGCAAAGAACATCTCCACACAAATTATGAAATTCTGATACCCAGCGGCCACAGTCCCCTCCCCTACTGTCACCTCAGCAGAGTTAATTTTGGGGATGGCTCCACACTTTTCCAGTATGGCCAAAAGCAGCCCTGAAAGGAGAACAAAGCAGGGAATCACTCAGCATCTTTCTAGATTAATTTAAACCTTACAATACATTTTACTCTAAGGACATTTTGTTCTGTAATCCTAGAACTACACATTGGTCAAACTAACACCGTTTAAACATTCTGGAATCCTCCATTTACTTATTATGTTAAAGATACTGGTAGTGATATCACTAATGATCTTCTAATATGAGTCATGACCCAAACAGGCCCTGAGACCGCTTTGACTCAAGCTTTATTGACATTTCGATGAAAGTCAGAAAAAATAAATGTATTGATTCCAGACTAGTACCATTCATTTTTCAAATGCCAGTTCTAATGCTGTTTGAATCAGTAAATACAGAATGCACCATGAGCCAAAACCATCTCTGAATATGCATCTCACCTTGCCAGAAAGAGAGGAAAATGACCGACTTCACCATAAAGAACTTGAGTACGGGGCTGTAGGGGCTGAGTAATTCACGTGTAGCAAAGTAGAATAAGAAAAGTGCATATAACGCAAGGCTAACGGAAATGTTGTAAATAATTGTCACATACAGATATCCACTGGCCACGCTGGAATAAAATAGACATACATGATCATTTTAACACTGGACTGCAGTTAACAGTATGTTTACATAAAACAAACTATTACTGGTGAACATCTGCTTACAGAATGTGAAGAATTGTGTATCTGCTATGTGATTGCCTCTACACTTATAAGGATATCCATTTTTATTTTTTTAATAAAAAGGTTTACGTTTATTGAAGACTAAACTATGTAAATATATATACTTATATATAGATTTTTTTTTCCCCTCAAGTAAAAAAAATATTCAAAAGTGCAGGTAGGCAACATATAAATGGTAGTACAGGGAGGAAAAAAAACAAACACCTTTACACCTATGCTCATATGTCAGACAATGTCGTCTTTGAAGCTACAAACATAATGTAGCCCATAAAGCAGCTAAGCTTAGTGGAATAGGGCCTTGACAGGAGGCAGGCATTCATAGTTAGTGTGTTTGGATTGGCTAGTTATCTGGGATGTGCAGGATGATACATATAGGGCAGCCATCTTAAACTTTTCCCATTCAAATGCTTTCTCATAGACCCTGTTGTTGTCCCTCCCACCCTCAATGATTTTGTGTTAGGTTTGGAGTTATCCTCTGTCTGGTCACAGTGCTGGGGGGGATGGATAGGTAAATCGAGGGTGGTATGGTTTATAAGGGATTGATTAATTATGTGGTTTAAAAGTTGGTATGGTAGGTTTCGAGTTGGTCAGTGGCTCAGAAACTAAGGGTGTAGTGGTATTCCGGTATACCCCTACATTGGATCATTCGAGCAAGTTGTTTGCTCTTTATTATGTTTCATTATGTTTTTTTATGTTCTATTGTTATGTTGTTAATTTTAGGGGTCATTGTCATTGTAATGTTGTGGGGGGTTAGTTATATACGGTCATAGGGTTTACCTGACAATTACTTTTCGTATTAAAAATAGATATATTAAATTAAAAGCGGAGGACAGAATTTTACCCAACAGCTTGGTGTCTGTGCATTATTGGGAATGTATGGTTTTTTTTTTTTATTCTTAATGCACAAGGGTACGACGAGGCACCTGTCATGTAATGTGCTGTAGGCAATGTTAAAAAAAAATGGTAAGAATCCAGGATTCATTTCTATCAGGAGTCATGAGATGATACACTTACTTGAAATCCCCATCTCTGTACTTCCCAAAGGCTTGAAGTATAACGGTTATAACTGCCATTAAAGGTTTCACCACACAAAACTGCAGTGTAGCCTGTGATGAAAAAATGTAATAAATAAAAAACCAGGAAGCAGAAAATCTGCCTTATCATGTCTGTAATCAAATCTTTATACAGCTGCACACCAAAGTGAAAATGTAAAAAAAAAAAAATAAGATTCAAAAGGACAATTTATAACCCAGGTAAGAATTCAGGTCTATGTACCCTAGGATTCTAATGTTTACAAATAATTGGATGACCAGGATAAAAGAAGATCCCCAGATGTCGCAGAATTACAACTCATGTATTTCAACATCTGGAGATATACCTTTTGGCCTTTTTTGTTTAGTCTGTCCCAGATAGTTCTGGTGCAGCATAAGTTTTTAAAAGCTTCAAAATTATTTCTCAAATTGAATAAATTTATTTTATTTAAAAGAAAGAAAAAAAAAGGTTCCAATATGTCTAAGGTAAACACACCTGCTTACAAAAGCGTAGAAAGCCAATGGAATAGGTCTTTCCCCAGAGACAGCATGTCCCATACATACAGCTGGACCTAAAGTATACAATAAAAAAAAATAGTTAACATAAATGGTAAAACAAAATGTGTCATATGTAAGTAATCCCCTCCCAATTTACCAAAATCAACATTTCTGCCTCTGTCAAATTTATGGATTGCAGAGAATTACCGTATATTGTTTATTGCTGCTAGTGCTACTAAAGATTAAAACATTGTGTACATATAACTTTAGTTTTTCTTTCATAAGTATGGGGCTAATGAGATATATAGGAAGTAGTTACAAAACTAGCACAACTGTGATACAGTCTGAACCTACAAAGTAATCAAATGGTTACTAGCAAAAAAATTTAAAAAAAAATTAATTTAAAAAAAGCATCTGTATGACAGGTTTGCACAATGTGGTCATATGTGGCTTTGCCTTTATATAAAATGCTTACTGTACTAGACAAAAGACCTAGCCACTAAGTAGATCGCCAGATGCTATAGTATGGTATGCAGAGGTCACTCTGCCAGTACGCTAGCCATAGGTCTGTACTTTGCAGTCAGTGTTCAGGCTGATTGATGTGCTAGGAGAGAGATTGTCGGGGCAGCGTAGTGCAGTTGTCTTTTATGTGGGATGGGAATAAGGGGTGGGATTTCAGCCCTGGGCCCCCTGGGTTGGTGTTTCGCTAGCTGCTAGTGTTCTCCATCCTTCTGGTGTTGCAGATAGAGCCACATGCAACAAGCTGGCAGGAGGATAAATCATACAGGACTGGGCATAGGAGTTAGGTAACCTGGACTGGGAATGGGTGAAGGGGCATTGAATGCTAACAGCACTGGCTAGAATGGATTGAATGGTAGAACGCTTAGTGAATGCTCAGGGTACTGACTGAGATTGTGGGAGTTGGAGAAGGGGCATTTGACAATTTGACATAAGTGAATGCTCAGAACTTTGTCTGGGATGTATGGAATGGGAAAAAGGACAGAAAAATGTGAGTGGATGTTAACGGCAGTTGCTATGGCTGAAGAAAAGGGAGATGGGGCAGTGAATATGACTGAAGGCTCAGAGCACATACTTGGAAAGGGGCAGTGGATATGATTGAATGCTTAGGATACTGACTGGAAGGAGAGAGAGGATGTGATTGAATGCTCAGGCCATTGACTGTGATGTAGAGAATAGGCAAAGGGTCAGTAAAATGTGAGTGAATACATATAGAAGTTGCTGTGACAGGATGAATGGGAGAAGGGACAGAGGATGTGATTTAATGTTTAGGGCACTGACTAGGAAATGGGGCAGTGGATGTGATTGAATACTCAGGGCACCAACTGTGAGAAGAGGCAGTGGAGGTGAGTAAATGCTTCAGATAAATAAGTTATTTTGATCTGCAGTGTTGTCATCACTGCTATAGAACAGCCTTTTTACCACCCATGTCTGCCTAATACATTGTTCAGTCCTCTAGCCATTATTACACTGAGCAAAATTATAAACACAACACTTTTGTTTTTGCCCCATTTTCCATGCGCTGAACTCAAAAAACTAAGACTTTTTCTTTGTACACAAAAGGCCTATTTCCCTCAACTATTGTTCACAAATCTGTCTAAATCTGTGTTAGTGAGCACTTCTCCTTTGACGAGATAATCCATCCACCTCACAGGCGTGACATATCAAGATGCTGATTAGACAGCATGATTATTGCAAAGGTGTGCCTTAGGCTGGCCACAATAAAAGGCCACTTTAAAATGTGCAGTTTTATCACACAGCACAATGCCACAGATGTCGCAAGTTTTGAGGGAGTGTGCAATTGGCATGCTGACTGCAGGAATGTCCACCAGAGCTGTTGCCCTTGACTTGAATGTTCATTTTTGTACCATAAGCCATCTCAGAAGGTGTTTCAGAGAATTTTGCAGTATATCCAACTGGCCTCACAACCGCAGACCACGTGTAACCACACCAGCCCAGGACCTCCACATCCAGCATCTTCACCTCCAAGATCGTATGAGACCAGCCACCCGGACAGCTGCTGCAACAATCTGTTTGCATGACCAAATAATTTCATCCCAAACGGTCAGAAACCGTCTCTTGGAAGCTCATCTGCAAAGCTCGTCGTCCTCATCGGGGTCTCGACCTGACTGCAGTTCGTCATCGTAACCGACTTGAGTGGGTAAATGCTCACATTCGATGGCACCTGGCCCTTTGGAGAGGTGTTCTCTTCACAGATGAATCACGATTTTCAATGTACAGAGCAGATTGCAGACAGCCTGTGTAACGGACCGCCTGGCAACCCGACCGGGTACCTCCGTCTATCGCTGCTTCCTAGTACCATAATCACTGCACTGGAACACCATAACCACCACAGACCCCATGAACCGTCGCAGCTTGGTTGGGGTCTCGCCGTCCTACGCCCACCCTGGACCCAAGACCAGGATCCAGCTTCAGTGGGTAGACCTCTCCTAGTCCAGAGAGCATAGCAGGAACAGAGAACAAACCGCAGCACTTCTTGCCCTAAGTCACTGTAGCTTGAATGGGGCTCTGGAACCGCTCCTTCCTGGAGCCAAATGGGGAGTTAGCTCTGACACCTCCAGGCACTGGACGTCACTCAGTCCTAGGAACTGTGGAACCGAATGGGGAATTAGCTCTAGTCCTTACAAGGACTTTCCCTGTTGAATCTCCTGCAAGCTGGAACAGCAGACACAGGAGCAAATCTTCTTTCCCTCCAATAACAGGACGACACACAGTTTTGGAGTGTAAGCAGGAACAGTTCCAGACAATTGCAGGCTTTGACCGGTCTTCTTTCAGGAGTTCATACAAATTAACAAACGAACATACACATCTATAATTGGGTAGTCGTGTGTCTGATGGTCGGTGCTTCAAGATGAAAGTCGCTCAATTTGGACGATCAGAATTATCTGCACGAACTGTATGGAAGTCCAGCGTGTTCGCGAGGTCGAGTAGCCGATTTTAGTTCCATGCACTCGACGACCAAACAGCGCTGGGCGTTGTGTGCCAAGATGGCCGCCGCCACGTTTTCGTTCATTCGAACGGCGACCACCCATTCAACCACTAGGTGTTTGCGGTTTCCCTATGTTGCCAGTTCTTAATTGGAGACCTTGTGTAATTGGAGACCTTGTGTGGTCCTCCATTTGGTACTTTGTTCGGCTCAAGGAACAGTATGTCTATGTTCTGTTCGTGGAGTCCAATTAAACGAATGGAGTTAGTCTTTACAGATGGAATTAAATGAATGAACAGTTCTTGGTATAATGAAGTGGCTAGTTTTGCCACAGCCTGTATGGCGTTGTGTGGGTGAGTGGTTTGCTGATGTCAAAGTTGTGGATTGAGTGGCCCATGTTAGCGGTGGGGTTATGGTATGGGCAGGCGTATGTTATGGACAACAACCACAGGTGCATTTTATTGATGGCACTTTGAATGCACAGAGATACCGTGACGAGATCCTGAGGCCCATTGTTGTGTCATTCATCCACAACCATCACCTTATGTTGCAGCATGATAATGCATGGCTCAACGTTGCAAGAATCCATACACAATTCCTGGAAGCTAAAAAACATCCCAGTGCTTGCATGGCCAGCATACTCACTGGACATGTCACTCGTTGAGCATGTTTGCAATGCTCTGGATTGGCGTATACGACAGTGTGTTCCAGGTCCTGCCAATATCCAGCAACTTCGCACAACCATTATAGAGGAGTGGACGAACAATCCACAGGCCACAATCAACAACCTGATCAACTCTATGCGAAGGAGATGTGTTGCACTGCGTGAGGCAAATGGTGGTCACACCAGATACTGACTGGTTTTCGTTGCCCCTCAAATCTCCCAAATACAGTGAAACTGCACATTTTAGAATGGCCTTTTATTGTGGCCACTCCTAAGGCACTCCTTTGCAATAAACATACTGTCTAATCAGCATCTTGATAATCCATCCACCTCACAGTTGTGGCATATCTCAGCAAAGGAGAAGTGCTCACTAACACAGATTTAGACAGATCTGTGAACAATATTTGAGATAAATAGTCCTTTTGTGTACATAGAAAAAGTCTTAGATCTTTGAGTTCGTAAAATATGGGGGCAAAAACAAACGTGTTGCGTTTATAAATTTTGTTCCGTGTATATATCAGTCTCTTTGTCAGGGATAGGCAACCTTTGGCACTCCAGATGTTGTGGACTACATCCCCCATAATGCTCTTACACCTATAATGCCGACAAAGCATCATAGGAGGTGTAGTCCAAAACATCTGGAGTGCCGAAGGTTGCCTATGCCTGGTCTATGTGCTTGTATCAATGTGGATCACTATCAAAGCACCATCACTTCAGATGTGGAAGTGGGATGTGCAGATGACCTGGAAGTTCTACTGCTTTGTGACACTCTTAAGCTTACTATGATGAAGGACGACATTTGTAGTGAAGATATATCTAATGGTGTACACAAAACACCTGAATAATTAAAAAACGCTAGGATACATATTTACACATTTAAAAATTACATTTTCTTTCGGTGTTTTGTTGAAAAATATAGAGAAAATCTGAGTTTATCCCTTCTATTATTTAAAGGAACACTGCAAAAAACATTTATTTATTAAAATACAAGAATGCAACTGCTATGCTATGTTGGAGTTTTTGCTTCTTTTCAGCCTAAATTTGAAATTCACATCATCAGTGAAGAACCCTCAAGGGAAAATCTGACTGGAGCCTGCTGCTCCTAGCCGGAGCTCACTGCAGAAAGCTGCAGACCTTGTGGAGTCTAAAATAATACAGTATTTTTCGCTCCATAAGACGCACTTTTTCCCCCCTCAAAAGTGAGGGGAAATGTCTGTGCGTCTTATAGAGCGAACGTGAAGCTTTACTGACATGTACTGTATCGTGGGCCAGCAGAACAGCACGCACCGCGGTACAGGAACTTTTTTTCACTCCGTGTGCACACTTACTTTCGGTCCTGCCGGAAACTGGAACCTGAAATTTAAGTTCCTGTACCGCGGTGTGCGCTGTTCTGCCGGTGTTCTATCAATTTCCCCTACTCGTGAAAATCCCCTACCCTCGTCACTTCCGGTGAGGGGAATCAGCTGGATCCTGTGATGCACATGCGTGCTAGCACTCCTGCTACTCCTCCACAACAAGGTCCTGGAAGGTAAGTAAAACAAATTTTACACTTTCATTATAGTTCGTGCATTCACTAAGCTTAGGATATGGGACATTTAGGGTTAATGTTAGGGTTCAAATTAGGGTTAGGATTAGGGACTTGTTCATATTTAGTGATATATCACATTAGGGGAATATCACTAAATTGTGCTTTCTCACACTCTATTTTAATTTTAACCCTCACCCCAAGGGTTAGGGTAAGAATAGATTGTGAGAGAGGTTAGAATCACTTACCTAACCCTAATTTGAACCCTCACTTAACCCTAAATGTCCCGTGTGCCTAAGCTTAGTGAATGCACTTACTATAATGAAAGTGTAAAACTAGTTTTACTTACCTTCCAGGACCTTGCTGTGGAGGAGTAGCAGGAGTGCTAGCACTGCATGTGCAGCACAGGAGCCAGCTGATTCCCCTCACCGGAAGTGATGAGGGTAGGGGATTTTCACGAGGTAGGGGATTTCGATAGAACACCGGCCCACGCTACAATACAGGTAAGTAATTATGGGACACTATGGGACAAGGGGAAGGGGGGAGGACACTATGGGAGGGAAAGTGCACTATGGGACAAGGGGAGGGTGGGGACACTATGGGAGGGGAGAACACTATGAGACAAGGGGGGGGACACTATGGGGGGGGGAGAACACTATGGGTTGAGGGGGGGAACACTATGGGATGAGGGGAGGAGAACACTATTGGACAAGGGGAGGAGAGGGGTTAAAGAACACTACTGGACAAGGGGAGGAGGGAGGTTAAAGAACACTATCGGACAAGGAGGGGTTAAAAATCACTATGGAACAGGGAAAGGGGGGTTATGGAGCGAAAAATACGTTATATTTAATTTTAGAAGTTAAAAATAGTATAGTAGAAAAAGTAATGCAAAGAAGATGGGGTCAACACCAGCTTAGATAAAAAAAAAAAAAAAGACATATTAATCTACCAAGAAGTATAGTTTATATGGATGTGATCAATGACCGCATTGTATAAATAAAATCACACTTTACGTCTCTACATTTATTCAGAAAAAAAAAAACTCACTCAATGGGCTTCCCTCTGATTTCAGTCATGATATTACTCTCTCCACCAAGGTATTCGTAACAAAGGCTTAAGAAGTTGTAGATGACGAAAGCTGTAGAGCACAAAAGACAAAATTACATTTTAAGACTTGCTGACAAGGTTACAGTTGCTTGAGACCACCACTGGAAAAACAAAAACAAAAACATAAGCAATGATAAACACATCTCATTGTGGTTTATTTAGAAGAATTACTTTTATGCTCTGTTCCTATTTCACTACGCTGTCTAATAAATTCTATGCTGGCTGAACTTCGTAAAGGTTATTAGGAAATATGGACGTTATACTGCAAATGTATCTACACACAATAAACAGCTTACCTTAAAGGGTTGCTCCAAGCACCATAACCACTTAATTTTTAACAAATGATTTGACATGGTCATGGTGCCTGGAGTCTAAAGGTTTTCAATATGAAAAACTGCACACGGGAATAGCTTATATTGTTTTCAGAGGTGTAACCTCCAGCAGTGACATTAGTATATTGGTAAAAATACAAATGTATGTTGGCACTCAAACCTTTAACTGGGTGCAGGTATCGAGTAGATATGCTGAGATACCTCCTATCACAGTCCACACTATAATTGCAAAATAGTGTATTGCACTCTTGCAACGCTAGCACATTACACATGTGTGAGAGTACAGCACTGAAGTGGATGAAGCACCAGGAGCTGAAGATCAAAGACTGCGGCACCCGTAGGGTCTTTATCAAGTATGTATAACTCACCTGTACTGCACTGCCAGGCCACTGCACTCCATTCGGCAATGTCACTATAGGAGGTCAGTAAAATATGCAAAGACCCCAGAAGGTGACAGAGCCACTTTAACAGTGTTCTATTACTTTATAAAGCTCTTAATTTGCACATTACCTGTAAGACAGCTAGAAGTGTGTTGTTCTGGACTGCTTTGTGCAACTGCATAAACTGAAAGACAATGTTTCTTTATGGGTAGCATTGCTGACAGTGCAGCAACTGCCATTCACGTTTTTGCTTTCCCAATGCTTCTCAGGGAGAAGTACTGGACTGGTTGAGAAAACATCATTAGAGATTATTTCCTGATGACAGAACAGAACTACGGCACTGGACTTTCTTGCCCCTGGATTACAGCTATGTTAACTCTATGTTTACAGAAGAGGAGGGTCTAGTATACTTCACAACACTTCAGCATTATAAACAAGCATCTTTCCTTGAATGTTTGCTTAGACAGATAGCTATATAGACAAGAGATGGGCAGTCTACTAATTACAATTCTATGATTTTATTAAGGACACGGATGTTCCTATTATGTGCTTTCTTTATTTTCACTCAGCATTGAGAAAAAAAAAATATAAAATTGAATGTAATATAAATAAAAGGAATAAACATAATGAATCTGCCTAGGAACAGGGCAGCCTATCAGAATACAGGAAACAGTCTATAAAAGGTCCGAACTAGCATTCCATTTCTCTTTCTTTGCTGCTCCCTCAGACCAGCTAGTATATTCAGTTTCATTCTGTTGATTTATGGTTTTGATTAGTGTTTATATGTAGATACTTAAAGTTCTGGATTCTATTATTTGTATAATTTTGTTTTGAGTTTGCTTTTTTTTAGTGGCTGACAGCGGGTTTCTCCCCACTGCTTTGTGTTTCTTGTTGGCTCGGGCCGTATCTCCCTGCCTGTACTGTGTCCTTTAAGGAGCACAGGCTCGGGATTCCAGCCCTGGCTGTTTGTTTTTCCCCTCTCACTCATTCCCTCCACGGCTGCATGTGTTCCCTTGCCGACTCGACGCGCGGCAGTTCCTTTTTTTTTTTGGTTAGTACCACCGCGTGTGCCAGGTCCACCTTGACGCGCGGGGACTGATCTCCCCTGGCGGCACAGATGTTTAGCCGCGAGCGATCCCCAGGCTCACCGGCCATCGCGGGGGAACGGAGCCTGCCCTCCTTTAGCGCGCTCTTTTAGCCTACTCACGTGGCCGACGGAGTTCCCGGTGGCACCGGCTCCACTCTCCTCTCCTATATTATCTGTGTATTGTTTTTTTGTTGGGGTTACTCAACCCCTGTGGTTCATGTTTCTGCCCTTCCCCCTTTTATCCCTATGTGAACGAATTTCATTCTCTGGGGTCCGGGACCTGAGGCACACTCCATTACCTCCCTCGGTGTTTAAATTTCAGGCCTGGGACCTACTCTACCTGACTGGATTGGCAGGTTGTCTGATATTAATTGAGAGTGGTGATATTATTTTCGCGTGGTAAGTGAAGGTAAGGATAATGTGGAATATGCTCCTTGAATATGTCATATATGTTGTTACCTATTGTAACAGATCACCTGGCACCCCGACTGGGTACCTCCGTTGATGGATGCTCCTAGTGCTTCCCGAAGGCTCCAAGCACTCCACTTGACACCATGAGCACTGCAGACGCCACAAACCGCCGCAGCTTGGTTGGGGTCTCGCCATCTTCTTCCCACCCTGGACCTACGACAAGGCTCCAGGCTCCAGTGGCTGAACCTCTCTTCCTTCAGAGAGCGAAACAGGAACAAGCTCTTAAAAGAGCTTAGTGATTATAGCCAGGAGAGTATACAGCGTATAGCAATCCCCAGTGTAGATGCAGCCTTTTCCCCCACACATGAGACGAGGCTCTATGTTGAGGGTAAAACAGGAACTCAGCAGTGTGACGGTTTATTCTCTCTTATATACAGGTTTTCCCACAAGGATCCCACCCCTTGTGGTACACAGGACCCAAAGTTACAAAACCAATCAGGACAGACTTGTACAGTTTAGACACTCCCAGACAAGGTACACAAACCCTCCACTCTGCCTGTGATACAATTAACAAACACAATGGGCTAACTTTACTACTCACAGGCAGAGAACACACATTTTTCCCAAAACACAGAAAACACCCCAAATATATACATTCCTGGATAGCCCTGATCTGGGTGAACAACATATCCAAAAATCACCCAGATCAGGGCAGGGGTTCACGAATTCCATGGAAGTCACATTTTTAAGAAGCCTTTTTACGCGGAGAAACAAAGTTTTAATGCATGGGCCATAATCCTGGAGCAAAAGGCTGGCAAACAGGCCCCTCCAAAACCCAGTTGCGAGGTTATTTTCGCCACACCTTTCATGATTCTACGTTTTGTGCATATGGCGTGTTGGCTTGCCTTAATATGCTGATGGGTCCTGAGGTTGGATTTTACCATATTTTTGTCTTTTCGCAGTTTATCGCCAAGGAGGTTGAACCAGAGATAAGTTGTTTTTAATCTTGTTTTTGAAATTTTCTGGATTGGATTCTGGTCTTCGGTATTACAAGCAAAGAAGAGGAAATGGAATGCTAGCTCAGACCTTTTATAGACTGTTTCCTGTATCCTGATTGGCTGCCCTGTTCCTAGGCAGATTCGTTATGTTTTCGTTATTCGTTTATTTATATATTTTTTCTCTTTGCTGCTGATGGAATATAAAGAAAAAGATAGCATAATACTCACCTCCGTGTCATTAATAAAATCATGACTTTACGTCATGTTAATAGTAAAATCTTGGAATTATAGTACCTGAACGGTACAAGTCTGGAATGGCTATGATGGGCGCACATGAAACATTTCCTCATAGGAACAGTTACGCTCTTACATAAGGTTATAGAGGAAGGAATGATATTTCTCTGATGTTTCTCATTTTCCTTCAGGAAATGGTTTCCCATAGGAAAGCATTACATTGGCTGAGATTGTCAAGGAGGTAGATCAGGGGCAGAGCCAGCACAAGCCAAACACAGCCCCGCCAATCATCATCTCCTCATAGAGATGCACTGAATTGATGAATCTCTGTGAGGAAAGTTCAGTGTCTCCACGCAGAGGGTGGAGACACTGAATGTCAGTGTCACACTGTACAGCATTGGCCCAGGAAGTACCTCTAGTAGCCAACTGAGGAGTGGCCACTGGAGGTATCCCTAGGCTGTAATGTAAATACTGCAGGGAATAATTACACTCATCAGAACAAATACAATAAGCTGCAGTTGTTCTGGTGACTATAATGTGTCTTTAAATAGCATGAAAAGATGGAAATGCCAGCTTAATATTACAGTAAGTAACAGCTCCAGACATTACCTGCAATAACTGGGTGCCTATTTAATCATCTAAAATATTTTAAGGTAACCTTAGGGTTAAGAGCGGAGGGGATAGGGAGAGAATGCAATTGCTTGAATGACATAAGTAACAGGTTATCATGAAGCCATACAGAGATATGCTGTGTTTACAGAGAAGCTTTGCACCTATATTAAGTGTGCTGCAAAGCTCCCTACAGGGAGGTGACAATGGCACGTTGCTAGGATGCAGTGCAATGAAAGTAGCCATTTCAAGTCAAGAGGCGGCCAGTCTCCATTACTTCACACAAATATCTGTCATATACAAACAATTTGAATCTTATCACTAATAGAATCTCAGAGCAAAGAAAAACAGGATTGAAACTTGTTGTGTGATTTAAAACAGAATCAAAACTCGCTACAAGTTCCTTGGGATTACAAAAACATGTTTGCAAAAAACACAAACAATCCATCGTTTTTTAGGAATAAATGCAAGATATAAATGCAAGGACCACACGCATTCATTCACCAAAAACAATTAGTATAACACATTTAAATTCCTACAACTATGCAGAGAGTATATTCAATGGATAACGCTGTATAAATCTTCAACATTTGAGCAGCAAATCTTTTCATCACTTGCTTATAAATACAATCCTCCGTGGATAAGACTCCCCACTCTTTGCTCAATGGGGGATTAGCAATAGCAGGGCAGATTTTCTCTCCTTCAGCAAATCCCACCATGAGATTAATAGCTACTTACTGACCAGAACCAGTTTGGCTGGATGCCTCTGTGTGCTTTGTTTCCTATATTGTGTGCGCTCTACATACATCCCTCTTTCCAAACAAACTTATAGATACAAAAAATGGTTTATAATAGCCAAAGATGCCCATTTAGAGAATAAAAATACATGCACACTTTACTACCAATATATCTTTTGGTAGTAAAGTGTGCATGTGTTTTTAATTTTATATATAGGAGTCTTTAGCTATTATAATTACAATAGTTATAGCGCTTAATTTGTCCATATAGTTACCTAGTATACATGGACACTGCTTGTATACTGCGTGCTTCCACATTTGTGAGAGCAGTTCAGGGAATATCCTTTCCTGGCTCAGCAGGACAATGACAACACACAGAAAGCAAGCTCCATAAAGAAATGGGATGCTCAAATAGTTATTGGCCTACATAACCCTGACCTAAATCCCATGGCCTAACATTAATGCTCAACCTCATCCATGCACTTGTAGCTGAAAAGAACCTTATTTCTGAAGAAATGTTTTGATATCAAGTAGATCTCCTTCTCATGTGTGGCTACTTTAAAGCCATTAGCAGGGCCAATCCCGCAATGATGCCTATAATTCTGGAATGAAATAATCAAGTAGCCATCTGCATCCATTTAGCCACCTAGTGCAGTTATCAACATTTCACATAAGTATTCTAAATAATATCTCAATCCTTAACCAAACCCTATTTCCCTGAGCATCTTTTTTTTTTTTTTTTTTATTAAAATGACAAATGTACAGATATTCTAGGTTTCTTATGTTTGGGATCTGGCAGGTTGAAAACCTTGAGCCTTCAAGATTCTGACCATATATTCTTATGCATTACTGAAGGCATTGAAACTGAACTAAGACATTTTAAGATCTGTATATCAACTATCAATAATCTTGGTGTGTTCCTGTTACAACACATACATGGACACTGCCAAAGGGACACTCCATGAGCAATTGCATGATATAATCTTGTATGCCCCTTTCTACTTATTCTATTTACTATTAATGGAAATAGTGGGGTGGGTGAGGGGGTATATCACAGAAAAAGCATCCCAATGACCATACCAGTATGACTGTAGGTCTTCTATGCCTTCCCTCCCCCCTCCCCCATTACATAAATCCCAATCTTTCCAATTGTCCCCACTGCTTTCTGAAAAGGAGCTGCTCAGGCAGGCACATGCTTCTTTCTACAGCTTCATTCAATACACTATGAATCACACGATTGGTTAGCTACTATCTACAGTCTTAGCAGCTGGAATAACAAAGGACTGAACTATGTAGTATGATGTGCTAAGCAATTCCTACTGAAATAAAATGTGATGGCTAGAACTGGCTAATGGTGTAGTAACCTCTGAAGGGCTTATTGCAGTAAGTTGCAAATGGATAGCCATGGGACAAGCATTTTCACACACACCCACACGTCTAGAGAATGGTTACCAAGAACCTTCTTTCTTTGGCTCTTATTCAGACTCCCATGATTGATCAGTCCTAATGTGTCCCTAATATTCATGGTTTTGTGCTACTTGGTTACCTAATACTCTGTTAGCTGAAAGGTTTAATCTTTATATTAGAGTTTCCTAAAAGAAATATACTATTTCATATAAATCGATTACTCATTTTGTACACAGATAGTGTTAATACACCAAGATAACAAAATTATCAGTTTTACTTACCCTCGTAGCAGTCCCGCACTGTATCAAAGTAAACATAGTATTGATCGTTTGTAAAGAATAAGAGGCTGAGCCAAGAGTCAAAAGCATATATGGGGACGATGAAAAGGATCCGTACGATGTGTCTCTGCTCATTAGGGCAGCTATAGGATCGTAGGTGCATGTATATCTAGGGAGAATAACAGAAAACTACAGTAAATCCACCTTGTCAAAGAAATCGAGTACATTTACATTACATTTAATGTAAATACCTTTTTTTTTTGTATTTCTTACATATAAACAGAGTAATAATGGTTTGAAGGGGAGGGGGATGGTCAGCAGTTCTGCTAATTAGTGGAAGATGTGTATGAACAATGCATCCTGCATTTTGTTGGCTCACTTTAACATGCACTTCCAGTAACAGTGCCGAGTTTAAAGGGGCAGCTCAGAGTAACTGAAATGTTACCAAGAAATTCTAGGCACTATGTTTATGTCAAATCATTCAGGAGCCGTTTCACAAAACAAAAACTATCTTAATATTTACACAATATCAGTGTGCCCATAGACTCAAGGCAACTGAACCAAAACATTAAATTGTAGAGTGCCCCTTTAAGCAGTCTGGTAACTCTATAAAAATTGGTAATTTCAGATCAACCGAAAGTCGCAAGAGCAGACATTAGTTTGTCCTGAAATTTGTTTTTCCTGGAAACATTCCAATGCTAAGCAGATTTCTTCTGCTCAGGAGGAAATACTTATGTGACATTTGAATTAAGTGCCAAACATATTCCACAGCATTTTACATTGTTGAGTGCAACAAGAAGAACACTGTGATGAGACACCTTCAGAAGTAAAATTAAACATCCTTCAGGAATCTGAATAATTTACGGATTCCTGGCAATGATGCAGGCAATGATCACAACTCTTTGGACCCACCTGCCTTATCCTTTAAACCTTCCCTTCCACATTTATTTAATATTGATCTTATACCTGGTCCCTGCGCATCCACAACCCAGGCTACCCTTATATGTAGACAACATTATGCATATAGCACCAACATATTCCACAGAGCTCCACGTGGACATGCATTGACTCAACCCACCTCTATGGGGAAAGTTCAGTGTCTCAATGCAGAGCTTGGAGACGATAAATGTCACTGCACATTGTGCAGCACTGACCCAGGAGGCACCTCTAGTGGCTGTTTGAGTGACTGCAAAGGCAGCATTTACATTAAAATGTCTGAAGGGACAGGCAATATACACCAGAACAACTACATTAAGTTGTATTTGTTCTGGTGACTATAGTGTCCTTTTAAGAATACTGGCAGGGGAGATACATACACATGTACATACATACAAGCCAACTATTATTGTGTAGAAGAAGAAAATAAATGTAATTAAACAAACAAAATTACACACAGTCTACACAGAGAAAATGTCACAGTGTATTTTCATTTAGAGCAGCGGTAGTCAACCTGGTCCCTTCCGTCCACTAGTGGGTGGTTTGGGATTTCAGGAGGGCGGTGTTGGGTTCTGCAGAAAACGCCCAGTGGGTCTCGATGGCAGTGAACAAAGGCCTGCACGGGAGATCCTTTCAACTCCCCTGCCGGCCCACGCAGAACCAACCTTGCTGTATGCCGTTTCGGGCTAGTGAGGAGATCAAAGATCTCCCTCCCCGGCCGCTGGCACTCCAGCAGAGGGAAGGAAGGGCCTAGGAGGCTTTGTATTTCTCCCGCGAGCAGGCTGGTTGAAGCGTTGCTGTGCGTTAACGTGGCAATGCTCAGATACATGCTGTGCTCGCAGGAGGACAGCAGAGTCAGCCTGCAGCCGGGGGAGCTGCAGACTAAAGTGAACATGCCACCACTGAACCACCAGGGCTTGCAGCATTATGTCCCCCATCCGTGGAAAAAGGTAAGAAGGGAGGGGAAGACATTAAGATAGATCACATCTCACCCACCAACACACAGAATAGACCTTCACATACTACACCCCCCCCCACACACACACACAGGCTGTCTCCCCCCCTCCCCACACACACACGCACCTGCACACACGCACAGCACCCTTCACTCTCACACACAAACACAACACCCCTCACATACAAACACACAGAAAAAAAAAGTTGAATAGAAAAAAATAGATAAACAAGTACATATTTTAAAAAAAAAACAAACAAAAAAACACTTTCTATAAGAATTTTTTTATTTTTTTATGCGCTAACATTTTTTGCTGCGGCACTTTGGGCGGTAAGGAAATTTTACCATCAACAAAGTAGGTATTTAGAGGTTGACTACCCCCGATTTAGAGCATTGCTAATTTTTTTTGCCATTTATTTTCCAGTTTGAGAGCCCATTTCCTCGTCACAATTGTAAAATGATCTTTTAATAGAAATGTCAGTTTGTACCCATTTAAAATGCAAATCTAATTTATGCATCAAGTGACCTTGATCGCATAAATAGAATCATTATTAATACAGCTCTAAATCCATAGAAAGGTTATACATGCTCCTTGCAGTTTAGATCCCAGGGCTCTGTAAAATAATAATAACAAAGGCCTCTGTCTATTTGATCTATTTTCACTTTTCAATTCATTTAATCCCGTCTATCGTTTTCATTCCATTATTCCTTACTTTTATTAAAAAAAAATTATAATGCTTTATTTTGGTTGTGCACGATAAAAACAGAGTGAGTCACATGTACAAAATGAATATTAAAGAATATGTACAAAAACACTAAGTACATTGGCACATTTTGTTTTTGAGCATTCGTTAGAAGAATTCTATGAGGAACACTTTTTAAACAAGAGTTAAAAGAGTGGCTACACTAGGTTATTTGGTGAGAGAAGGAGTCATGTGCTCAATAGTGGGCCTCCAATTAGGATGTCTGACTCCAGTGTTAGTTTTTATAATAGTGGTAATGCGATTACCTTCATTCCTGGTAGGGGGGGTCGTGATTGAAGCCTGCGAGCCAAAAAGCTATACACTGAAACAGGGGCCTGCGAGCCCACACTTTACTGAACCATGGCTTTCTTTTTGCCATTTTTGCCCGAGACCTGCGTGTCTCCTTGTTTATGCTACATGCTTGGCATATATGTTCAATGACATGCACCGAAAATAATAAAAATTATATTTACAGAAAAAATTATAATTTGTAGATACGCAGGTTTTGCAGATCTCATTCTTACTGCTATGCTGGCATGACAGGCTGCTTTATTAGCCATTTATATTTACAGAATTTTTATTTCACTAAAAGAAATGGGTTAATTGGTTGTTTTTACAAATAGCCTCAATGCAGACGGATTTTATCAATTACATTTTCAGTCTCACAAGATCACTGTAAGAGAGTTTAACCCACGTCATTTGCTGCACACCTGTTGTCTGTTGCTGGGTGTCAGTTATGTTGCTTTGGTAGCAGCAGTGTGCTACATGGTTAAAACAATAATAATCACCTGTTCGAAGAGTATGTTGATACAAGATGCAAGCTCAATGGATGAGGGAGGGGGCAACAAAAAAAAACAACCTAACCACAAATGTAAATTACGCGAGTGAAAACAAAACTCCCCATCACAAAATGTACTGTGTGTCTGGTCAATTTCCACAGCAGGTTTTGTGTAGATAAAGAAAAAATTTTCATATACATACATACATATATTATTTTTTTGTTGTTTTTTTTGTTTTGTTAATTCTTTATTTTTCTTTGGCGTGGAAATAACAGGCATGAATAATGTGCCACAACAGCACGTGTACATTATTATTAAACAAATTCACAATTTGGCACTAAAGATCTACACAATTTTTTGTAATTTTTTTTTTTTTTTTAAACAGTTTGGTACAAGTTATACACTGTAATGGACCGTTTTGCACACCAGAGGTTAAAACCCGTTTAGGCGATATTCCCCTTTCCAGATGCACAGGCAGCTACTGCAAGCACCAATCTCCCGAACGGCAAACTACACAAATTCACCAACTCCCGAACCGGAAACACACGAATACTGGAAACAGCCGAACAGGAAAAGCATACACTCAGCTTACACTCCTGGCAATCAGCATACAATCCAATTCCCCCCAAGAACGAGACGACACTTCGTTTTGAGGGTCAAGCAGAATCTGGTTTACTGGGGCTAACTTCCCAGCTTTTCTGCAGGCCTCCCACCTGGTGGACACTCCCCTAGGGGACCAGATGGAAGACCGGGACACACAGGGCAAAAGGACCAATCACAGACCTACACATTTCAACAATCCCACAATGCATCACAATCCCTCCTCTCTGGTCTGGAGATAATTGGGAAGTAATCCAATTATCTCCAAGGACAGAGGCAAAACTCCACTACACACATTTTCAGTAAAAAGACATAAAATTACATACGGTTACATTGATCATATAAAACACACACATTCTACATATCCTCAGATAGCTTAGATCTGAACGCACATTATTAACGAATGGCACTCAGATCACATACATACAGTTCAATAGCCATGGAGCCAAAGTTTTTCCCATAGTCTTTCGTTACATGAACAGGCTCCATGGCATGGCTATCTGGGATAATGCTGCTCATACGGTGAAACTACCGAATGAACAGTCATTCGGTTCCACTACCGAATGCAGAGGTAAGGAGGCTGGCGGCTCAGCGGTGTTCGTGTAAATAAGTTTTTGTTTTCAGTTCCATAGTTTGGCCGCTGCTACGTGTTCGGCAAACGAACAAAGGCCACCCAGCGTTCGTCAAAAATGTACTAATGACCCTACAATATTGCTCACCCTGGTGGATATGCGGGGCCAACTAAACATACTGTTACCCCACTGGGCAATGGACTAATCAAAAATATTTTGACAAAGGAAACAAACTGGATACAATCTTGGCTAAGCGCTTACAGCAGCAAATCAGGTAATGCACAGTGTGCTCCATACATTTTCTTAATGTTTGAGACTTACTTTAGGTCCCTATAGTTGGGAACCAAGAAGTGTCTTAATGTGCCTTCTGGGGCGGGGCGGGGAGGTGGGAGGGAGGGGAATTTAGGTGGTTACCTCTCACAGTGCAGTTTGCCGACCCAGCAGGGGGAGGATATAAAGTATATCAACAGGGAAATTCTAAAACAATTTAAAGCACCAGTGCTGGACGGCTTTTCGGTGGCTAACTATAAAGATTTAGGGATAGGGTAGATTGGACCTATCTATGGTGGACCCTGCGTCGCTTTGGCATCAGTGGCCATTTTTATGAAGGGAATAAGGTTGCTGGATCTGTGGTGAGGGTGGACAAATGAATGCCCACTGTTTCCTCTACTTTTCATTTTGGTAATTTGTTTTGTTTTTTTACATTTCTTTTATTAAACATATACAAAATATGACAGACATTGACAAAATGCTCAGTAGCGATGACATTGACATGTAAAGAAAGAATACAAAATTGTTAAACTCAGACATTACACGTGACATCTGAGGTACGCATATGGTACATTGAATCATTTACATACAATAATCTTAATCTTGGATATGTGATACAAGTGCCTTCATTTCGTTTTGTCAAACCTCTAAATTGAGGTGACATTCAAGCACCATTACATAGAAGAATGTCCTGGATTGGTAGGATGTGCATATCCCAGATATCTGTGAGCATGAAGCTGATTGAACCATAAGTGAAACGGTCCCTAAAGAGCGTTTGTTCCTCCTGTCGCTGACCCTGACGTGGATAGAGTGGACTGCCACGTCTGCTTAATGGAGATTGTGTTTTTCCAAGCATATAACCAGAGAGGTATTATCTATTAACTTAAAGCCTAATGTTAGGAAGATAATGTAAAGTATTTCAATCGTGTCTGTCAAAGACTAGTCCCAAATGGACTAATAACCCTGTGTGCATCTAGTGGGGCTGGAATTGGAGTCTGATCCCTTAAGGGTGAGTAGCTTATGGTCTGAAAGGGGTATTGTTTCAGATTTCTGATGAATAAACACTCCTGATTATCAAGTTGGGTGGTTGCTTTCTAGGAATTGGGTCCACAGACTCCAAGTATTGTTACATATTGCGTATTTGTACGATCGGGAATAAGTTAATTCCATCAATCGTACAGACTCTACTTTGCTAATCCATTCTTTTACTGATGGGGCCAAAGCGCTTTTCCACTTAATTAGGATGAGCAGGTTGGCCACAGTTATTAGGTGGTGAATGAGTGTGCGCCAGAATTTTGGCATTGGAGTGGGGTACTGAAGGAAGAGGCATGCCTCAGGTGTAATGGTCAGGGTCACTGTAGTAATTGTGCGTACAAGTATGATTATCTTACCCCAGTACACTCTTATTATTGGGCACGTCCACCATATAGGTCCTGTGGGCACCGCATCTCCAGCATCTGACTGAGGAAGTGGGAAACTCGCGATGTATCTGTGCTGGTGTATAATGCCATCTTGATATGCATTTACAATGACTCTTGTGAACTTTATGGAACATTTTTTTATGGAACATTTTTCTATTTATGGAAAAAAAGGACTTGGGTATCCTTATAGGGAGTGTTTGGAGCAGATAAAGAATTTTAGGGAGAATGTTCATTTTTAGTATGTGTATTCTGCATGGCCATCCAAACTGAGGTTTATCCAAATTTGAAGGATCTTTAGATATGGTTTGTAGGAGAGGTACAAAGTTAAGGTCATAGAGGGATTCAAGTTTGCACGGTAAAAGAACCCCTTAATATTTCATCGCCGTATCTGCAAAAGGGAATATATTTTTGAGTGCATATGTAGTATGAGTTTTAGGGGCATTATTTCACTTTTCGTGAAATTTACTTTGACGTTTGAGAGATGGTTACATGTTGTGATTTCCTTGATGAGTGGGGCCATGGATGTCGTCGGATTTGTAAGTGTAAAAAGGAGGTCATTCGCGAAAGCAGCTACTTTATATTCTTGTTGTTGTCCTTTCATGCCTGTTATATTGGGGTTATCCATCATTCCCTGGAGGAATGGTTCTAGAATGAGTATGAATAGTAATGGTAAGAGGGGGCACCCCTCTGTTGTGCCATTCGAATGTGCACAGATTCAGATAGTTGCCCACGAATCTTGAGCTTTGCGCTTGGCCTTGAATAGATAGCGTCTATCCATTGCAGCCAGTGAAGTCCGAATCCCATTGCCCAGAGAGTTGCCTTTAGAAGTTGTGTCTAAAATAGATTAGAGTGATGTGTTAAGGTCACCTCCTAAAATTAGGATACCTTCAGTGAATTGTTCTATTTTTCTGATACATTTTCTAAAAGTAAGGCCCTGCTTTCTGTTCAGTAGATCTAAATTGTGGAAAGTGATAACATTTTGGCCCAATTGGCCTTTGACCATGAGTAGTCTACCATTGTCATAATTTTGATGATCTTTGTATAAAAACGGTACATGCGATGCAAACAGTATAGCCACCCCCGTGTCTTGGTTTGGGAATCGTTGCTGAAGTATCCAATAGGATATTTTCAATTTCGTAATTGTGGGGCAACTCCTTCGCGGAAATGTCATTTTGGCAATTGAGCTCCTGCCGACTAGATCTGCAAAAGTGGCAACATTAGGGGAGTGAGAGTCAGGAAAAGGAATACAAACTTATCCTATTTGCGGATGATATCTTGCTTACCTTGACATCCCCGAAGGTCACTCTGCCCAACCTAAAAAGATTAATCACTTCAAATGCAAAGCCCTAAATTTTAATTTGCCCCCATCCCTAGTTTCCCATTTGGAGAGGACCTATCCATTCAAGTGGCGAACAGACTCCATCACCTCCTTCTGGATCCAGGTCGCCCCGCGATGGACCGAAATTGTGGGAGCGAACTATGGGCTTATAGCTCAATGGGCGACATTTAATTTTTGTGGCAAATGTACGGTGTAAAAATGTCAAAAATTGTATACCTATTCCTTTCCATACCATTGCCGCATTAGCAAAGGGACTTGGCCTCTCTCCATGAGGAAATTCTTTCACATGGCAGGGCAGCAGGGGAATGTTCACCAAGCCACAACTAAATCAACTAAAAGGGGATGGCGGCACCTCATTTTTTCTCATACGATTAAGCAACTCAGTTTGCAATATTATCCCAGATAAACTCAGTGAACAATAGGGCCAAATGGGTGTCCCTAGAGGACAAAGGGCCACTGCGCAATATTATGGGGACATAGTACCCCTGCGCAATATTATGGGGTACCCCAATGCAACTCAAACACATCATTGCCCAGTTCTACTGCATTTTCTATGGCAGTGGAGGAAGTATAGGATATTGGGAAGCCTCTCCATAGAAGGATGCAGACTACACCCTCTCTTCTATAAGCCCCATCACGCCTTGCTAGGAGATACTCTACTGCCCTTCCTCTCTGTTCTCTATATTGTTTACGACCTACATGTCACCGTATTTCAGTTATCCCACTCACACCTTGGTGAACCCGCCTAGTTCTTGAATTACTTGTTACCATTGTTCTCTGCTAGGAGAACTTTCTGATGCCTTACTTTTATCTTGTTAGGGAAAAATCTCAAACATCTTAATTACAAAAATGATTCTATCAAAAGACATCAAATTTGGTAGTCAATATTTCTGGCTTGATCTGTGTGCTGTGCCAAAGGATGTGCTCTGGTATTACTACATGGCAGTCAGGCGAGTGGAACTAACCTGTAGAGAACAGAAATAGTATTGACATCAATTACTGTGTAGCGTAGGTCTGTGATTTTTTTAATTATATTAAAATCGTAAATTAGTACAGCTCACGTGCAGTTCTGAATCGTTATTTTTAGCCATGAAGCCATGCTCTGCTCCAGCAAAGCAGCTTCCTTTCCTTCCTGCTCACATTGAGAGTTGCTCCATATGAGGTCACACACAGCAAATCACATGACAGGTCACGGAGAGACAGCTGCAACAAGTCACATTTTAGCCTCAAGGAACCATCAGCGTGGAACAAGATTTTAATGGAAATGGCATAATTAAGAACCTTGTACCAACATTATGACCTAAAAGTTAATAATGCAGTGGGCAGAGTGTTATAAGGTATCAGATGGTCTTACTTGAATTAAAGAGAATTTGAGCCAAAATTTTACTATTGCACACAAATGAGCAATTTAACTCTGCTGAAATATGGCACATCTCAAAAGCGAAGTTTAGGAATTTAGCAAATTTATAAACAGAATTGCTCCAAATTTCTTAATTTGGAGAGTTAAACAGTAAACACTACAGATACCATACTGCAGTGGTTTTGGTAACAGGGGTAAGCTTAAGGTAAACAGTAGCTTCTGTCTGAAGAGGAGTAGGCACACAGCGAACCACCTTTTGACTACTTAACTTGTGAGCGCACCAAGGCATTCCTGGAACCAAAACCACTATATAGTGGGCTGTAGTGGTTATGGTGCTTGGATTGTTTCTGTAAGTGAACAAATGTGAACTCTAACCCATGCAATAACTAGAAGCAGATATTCTCCTGTTTGGCCCAAACTATTTCTAAAGCTATCTTTTGTTTTATCTGGCCATGTGAGTTTAGGCAGTTACATTAGCAAAGCATGGAGGACAGAGGGAATAGCCATACCCAACAGTATAATACATAATGTAAATGTATTTTTTACTATTGTGTGAAAGACCTATGGTTTAATGCAATGCTTACATATTTATGCTCCTGATTATATGGTAACAGAAGACTAACAACCAATATCAATAAGTATTTTATCTACCGGTACTCTTGTCTGTGGTCCCAAAAGAATTAAGAATCTACACGCCTCTTACAAGTATCAACAGCTCAAGGTACACTGACAATGTTGCATCCAGTTCTTTGTAATAATAATAATAATACCAAACCTACAAGTAAAATGTCAGGGGTCTGCCACATTACGGAAAAATTAGGGTTTACCAACTCAAACTCTCCCCTCCACTAATCAAGTCGAGTGCTTTCTGTAAACATGCTATTAAATAAGTAATTAAAAAATGAAGATAATGTGGACTGACACTACTGTATTAAGTAATAAAAAAAAAAAAAAGAAGAAGACGATAAAAGGTTCAGGAAACACAAAAAGTAAGTAACTTATTTTGATTTGCGCATTCCCAGCACTGTAAATGGGAGGTTGGTAAATTATTTACATTTTTGCATATTTTGGTTTGTCTTCAATGTTTCAACAACAAAGTACTCACTAGAACACTAGAAAGAATTGACTGGAAAGTCAATTTACCTGGTGACAAGTGATCAGCAGGGCAGTCCATACAAAGAATCCAGATATGGCCTGAGCAGTGGTTGTCATTAAAAACATAGGCTGCTCTACTGCAAATGGTTCCTCTTCTGGGGTCCTGGAATAATTTGGGCTGGCAGATGTAGCTGCACCTGCAATGGTCGCAGCAGGTGCCCTGGTATCCATGATCTGTGAGGTAACAAAAATGACAAATGTAAACCTGATTATTTTTTCTCTCAAGTCACATAATTATAGTTTATTTTCTCTGACAGAGGGAGCATAAAATATAGAAAAAAACAAACAAACAAAGTATTAAAGGACCCCTATAGTCACCCAGACAACTTCAGCTCAATGAAGTGGTCTGGGTGCCACGTCCACCAGGTTTTAACCCTGCTGCTGTAAACATAGCAGAGGCGCTTCCCCGACGCTCAATGCGAAAATCGCATTGAGCACACAGAACGTCCATAGGAAAGCATTGAGAAATGTTTTCCTATAGGTGTTTTTAATGCGCGCGCGGCCCTGTCCGGGAGCTGACGTAGGAAGGAGAGGTCATCAGCGCGGAGGAAGCCCTGCGCTGGTTTTAACCCCTTCAGCACAGCGGGAGGGGTGCCCTAAGGATTAGATAGTGTCAGGAAAACAAGTTTGTTTTCCTGACACTATAGTGACCCTTTAAGTCAACAACAGGCAAAGATATTATGCTGCATGAAAGCAGTAGTTTATTGTAAGTGTGGCCCTGCCGCTGATATTAATGTCCATCAGTAGTGGAGTTAAACTAAGTGATTTTATCATGTAATTAGCAGTTTAAAGGGACAGTACAAATCTGCTGGTCAACCAGTAACCCTCATTCGACACAAGCCCCATTAGTAACTGCAAAGCCAGCATGTGTCACAGAGCGAGTGACCAATTTATAGGGGAGAAAGTAAGCTCCTCTTCAAATACACATCGATATGTAAAGACACTTAAGAATGCAAGTCAGTCATAATGAACATAATGTTGTATAGGTCCTCTTATTTGAGTTCTGACTGGAAGGGCGTTCTGTGGTCTGCACCAGCCAAAGGTTCTGTCCACATGCTTCTCCACTGGACTACCAGTGATTTTCAAACCAGTCCAGGATTTAGGGATTACCCAGTTGTGCCTTTTTGTTTTTCCCGCTTTTAAAAAAAAAAAACTTTAGACATAACTGGGTAATTCCAAAATCCTGGACTGCTAGGTGTGACTTGAGGACTGGTTTTGACAAAACTGAGGTATACTATGCGATTCCAAAGTAGACCACCATGGATTTATAGGTGAAACCCCATATCTGCAAAAAGCTTCCCATAATATTTTATTATATATATATATATATATATATAAATAATAGTGTGATAAGATTTACTTTGTAGTCTGTTCTGATTAGAACTTGGGAGCCAGTGAAGGCTTACAAAATGCAGGGTATGAGTCTTTAAATTACCACCAAGAAAACTGCAAATATTCCTTAGATCGGAGTAGCATGTTATGCTCATCTTTACTGGATTTTGAGGGACACCAAAATACCTGTTGCTGCTCATTTCTTAGCATATGGGTGCAATCTAGAGTTTACACGATTGTGTGTATTTGTGTATATATATATATATATATATATATATATATATATATATATATATATATATATATATATATATATATATATACATACACACATACACACACACACACACACACACACACACATATCTGCAAAAAGCTTCCCATAAAATTATATATATATTTATTATGGGAAGCTTTTTGCAGGGGGTGGTGGTGGTGGTGGTGGGGGTGTGGGTGTGGGTGTGTGTGTGTTCGGAATTTAATACGTAATGGATAGTATCTGTAAGTACAAAGTTGGTTGTGGTGTGCCGAAACCAACGTGCGAGTGGGCCTGTAAATAAAAGAGGGCAAAAGAGAAGTTCGAGAAAATACACACTTTATTGTTTTTTTTACACAACCAAGTTCCTGAAAGCTTGAAGAAGCTCTTTTTCTGGTCGTGGAATATAAGTATGGCATATGGAGGATTTCCATCGTCCCAGTCTCTTGATGATGTGGACCGGTGTATTAGTGCTGGAGGCTGAAGAGGCGGCTCCTATGCGAAAGGAGTGCCCGGAGAATGAAGTCGGATTAAAACCCAGTTTAGATAAGTGTTCTGACGTGAGACGTGAATTCAGCAGTGGTAAGCGGGTGACCTTGTATTGATAAGAGCGCAGAATCTGGTAAGTGCGCATGAAGGGTTGACCGTAGGAGGTCTAGCGCCTTGACCGGACACCAGGCATTATCAGTAGGGAAGAGAGGAATTACAGTGGGGTGTAGTGAATGGTTGGTTTTAGTTGACGGGATCGAAAGTAGATAGTGATCCTCCATGATGCGATGTTTTTAGGCTGTGCGTGATATCCTCTTGACGAACAACGGTGAACTCTCTAGGTCTGAGAAAACCGTAGAAAGCAAGATAGATAGCCGCTTTGATCACCAGGTTTGTGTCGGGATCAAACGGGGATTCGTCAAGGAGATTGCTAAGTGATCTGAAGATAGGCCCATCTATAGGTAGTCTTGTGATAGTGAGAGGAGCTGAAACCTTTAACATACCTTTGAATACCTTTTTAATGGGATATGATGACAAGAAGAGGGTGTTGTTAGGAAAATTGGTGAGGTAAAGTTTTATGGTGTTGTGGGATAGTTTAAGATGTAAGTGGCAGAAAGAGGCAAAAGCCACCATGGTTTGTGTAGAAAGGTCGCCTTGTAAACCGAATTCTGCAGTGAATTTGTTAAATATGGTAAGTGCCCTATTATAAGAGATAGCTGTGTTAGGTGAGAGTGCTTGGTAAGTGAGAGTCCTAGCGTGATGCATTAGTGTGCTCAGTCCAGGATTAGTTTGTGAAACTGTGGTGTCCTGGATGGCTGGAGGTGAGCCGTAGGGAGTGCCTGAGAGAATACCTGGAATTGAGAGCGAGAAAGAGCGTCAGCTGCAGTGTTGTGGATACCCGGAATGTGAAAACAAACTAAGTGAAACTGACCGGTTACTGCTAGCCAGGTCAGCTTGCGAATCAGCCGCATGATGGTCAGGGATGATGAGCACCCCTTGTTAATGATTTCGCAAGCTGCCGAGTTGTCAGAGTAGCATTTTACTGCCTTGCCGGACCAGAGATGACCCCAGGTGTGTGCAGCCGCCACAATGGGATAGATATCAAATAGGGCTGAGGTCTCCCTGAATCCAGGCAAGGCATCCGTCTCAGCGGGCCAGTGACCCCTAAACCAGTGGTTCCCAAAGATGGCTGCGAAACCAGTGTTGGCTGCAGCATCTGTGTGAATGATGGGTCTATCTCCCCTCTCAAGCGGGTCAGTTTGTCATGGGGAAGGCTAGCTCTGAGGGTAACGGAATCTAGCTCTATCCCCAAAAAGGTTAATTTAGTTGTGGGACCAATTGGTTTAGATGGGGACAAAGGTACTCCAAGTGTGGAAAAAAGTGCTGTAGTGCGGCTGATAGCAGTGGGTGTTTGTGCACCTGGCTCTATCAGTAGGAAGTCGTCTAGGTAGTGAATAACGGAGTGACACCTGAGGAAGTTCAGAAGCAGCCAGCATAGTGTCTCAGCGAAGATATCGAAAAGTTTTGGGGCTGCTTCGAGAACCGAAAGGGAGTCGTGTGGAGAAGTAGTACTTTCCTCGCCATTTAACACTGTGCAAGTGCCAGAGTGAGGGGTGCATGACTTAAACGCGTTTGTGATGTCTGTTTTGCTGAGCCAGGGGCGATTACCAGAAGAGATGATGGCCTGTATAGCGTCGTCAATAGTTACGTACTGGAGTGAGACTTCGTCTAGAAGTTTTTTTTTTTGTTTGTTTTTTTTTAAATTTCATTCTAAGTGTATTTTTTTTTTTTTTTAAATTCTTTATTTTTGTTGTGCATGTTATAACAAAAGGACTTGCACTGCCACGACAGCATGGGCAAGTACAATAATAACAGTAGAGAAAAACAACATTATGGCATTTGTAAACCAGCACAAATTTTTAAGGGGAGCTAGTAGGTAGCGATAGGTTAATGCTCTAATACATTACATTCCCACCCATTGGGTATGTTATTGGCTTCAGATAGTGTGCTATACATAGGGCTCGGTTCAGTAACGCATCAGGGCTCTATACATTATTCATACTATAGGGTAGTGGTAGCTATATTGTCCTGTATACCAGCCTCAAGTCAGAGTTGTTCCTGCGCAGATTAGGTCAAACGTCAGAGTTTAGTAAGTGCTAAGACAGTTGCTTTATTGGGCATGCAGTGTTAACGCGCTTTGTTAGGTAACTGTTCAAGCTAGGTACATGCTGTAACTCCTTCTGTCACAATGAACTGCGTAAATGAGAAAAAAAACAAAACAATAGCTTAGGGTCGGTACCAATTGTTACGTCACATGTCATTGCTCCCTTGTCTAAACCTTTCCGCCCCATTAGAAACATTACCGTGTAATATTAGGATTGAAGTACAATCGTTAACATGGCGCAAAAAATTTTTTTAAAACATAAACAAAACTGAGCAGAGTAAAACAAATACATGCCGTGGGCATATCGGCCCCTGTGGTATGGCCCTTAATGGGCCAAGTAAGGTTGAATTTGCCAGGGGGACCGTGTAAGTGCTGGGTCAGATGAGGTGTTTTCTGGTAACGGACCCAACCAGCCCGCTAGGGCTTGTGCTCAGTCAGGTTGCAACTCAACTTAAGGTTACCAACTGAGTAGGGTGAAGGGGTGCAAAATAATGCGGGGTGTCCGCGGCTAGGGTGTGGGCTAACAGTGTAGGCAAAAATATAACCGATTATTTAAACCAAATTCACATAAGTCCCACAATAGTGTGCGTGGTGCGGCTCAGTCAGGCCGTTAAGTGCACTCAGGTCGGGCCACTGGCCGTGAACTCCTGGGAACGAAAGTCTCAGAGTTAGCAGGGTTCCATACATGTGGTCTGGAGGGGTTGTTTGGTAGCTGCAGAGCGTCTGGTGGGAGGCCCAAGGTGGCGAGTTGTGTCTTCGCCTCCTGCAGGTCCGTTATAAGGTATGTGTTGTCTCCCTGCAACACTTGGAGCTTGTGTGGTGAGCGCCATTGATATTTAATATTACGGGCGCGGAGTAGGGTAGTGAAGGGTCTCATAGTTGAGCGCCAGGCCATAGTTCCTCTGGATAAATCTGCATGTAGGGAGAGGGCCATGTCCTCGAAGGGGTATGGTGTGTTTCCCCTAATGGCGGTCATAACCGCTGTTTTGTCCTGCCGCTTTTGAAATTTAACAATTACGTCCCTGGGTGCCGCCGGAGGAGCCGTTGGCGGTTTGGGGATTCTGAATATGCCATCCAGGCCTACCCCTTTAGCTTGCTTCGGCTGGAGTATGTTACCCACTAGGCGCCTCATGAGGTGAGGGAGTTCTGAATCTGGGACCGACTCCGCTATGCCTCGAATCTTTACATTTTGGGACCTGCGCGAGTCTTCCAGTACCGCCAGTGTACGTTCCACTCTCAGGTGCTGTTGTTGCAGCGTGTTTACCTCCTGCTGGAGCCTGGCTACAGTCCTCGAGTGGTTAAGGGAGTCTTGTTCCACGCACACTATGCGGTTTGTTAGTCCCTGTATGTCTTTCCTCATGTCGGCTACATCCGCTTGGATGTTCCGGCGGAGCTCCGCCAGCAGCTCCCTCATTTCGGCCTTTGTGACCGGGGCCGTGTCCGGCTGCTTGCTTGGTTGCACTGCCTCCTGTGTTACAGGTAAGTGTGGGACTTCGAGTTCTGAGAGTCGTTCATCGGAGTCGTCGAAGTCGTCGAGGTAGGCGTCCATACTGGGTTCCGATGCGCCATGTGCTCGCCGCCGTAGGTCCCCTATGCTGGTGCCCGGCCGGGGCAGTTCTTGTTTTGGCTTTTTGTTTTTCCTGCCCATTGGTAGTCCACTGCAGTAGGACAGTCTTGGTTGCTTTTGAGGGGGTAAAATAGTGTTTTTTTCTTGCTTTTTCTCCGTTAAGTCTCGGAGCTCTCAGAAGATGCGACCAGTCGGTTCAGTAGTTAGCTCCGCCCCAATTAGAAGTTTTTTTTATTTGAATATTTGTGAACTGCGACGCCGATTGGGTTAGTGCGCCAGGAGGAAAAAGGTGAGGAGGTGAAAGGCCCGATCATGAAACCATTGGTAATTAGAGAGGAAAGGAGAGTGTCTGTGGAGACTGGGTCTACACGTGCTGACAGGAGATTAGGACATTCAAGTGTACCTGAGGGGATGGCTACTATACCCGTGAGAAACCCCTGTGGTCAGATATTCCACCAGGTGCCTGCTAGGGTGTGACCTTAAGTAAAACAAAACAGGTTGTCGACATTAATGTCGGTTAGTCATTTGTTAGGGGACAACATGGTCTTGGTATGTGCCCTGAAGCAAATGGAGCAGATGTGCAATAATCTACAAGCGCTGAAACTGCAGTAGCCGGCGCTGAAATTATTGAACACCTGCGCCTTGCCTAAAAAGGAGATGGGCCTACCCAGCTTGTTACGTAGACCACCCGTTGGTTTGTTGTGAGGGGTGAAAGAGGTATGAGGGGTGAGAGTGGAGGTGGTGGGATCTGCTTCAGAGGGACATTAGTCCGCCATGTGGGATGTGGAATTACATATGGAACAAGACGGGGGGCCTGAGACCAGTGAAGTGGCGAAAGAATAGTTCTGTATCCATCTGACACCAGTTAATTCTAACGTTGAACTGTTTCAGATTGGTCGCCGCCTTCGCTGATACTGACTTATGATAGTCATAGAAAGAAGAGCCCCCGTACTTGATGCCTAGATCCATCACCTTGTGAAGGTAGAGGTCTAACTCCTCTCTTCTGTGGGGATACACCGTGCAGATGACGTCACGGTATATTCCGAAAGCTATCACGAACTGGGGAATTGAAAGTTTTTTATTAAGCCTGGGATCTCTTGTCTTAAGCACTACTGATATATCCCCGTAATTGTAAGCCTTGTTCTCCAGTATGTCCTGTGAAGCTACAAGCAGAGACACCAGACACACGTCCTTCCCGTCTAGGATTTCTTTCCTGATAGAGTCTGGGACGGAGTGAGCTGGTGACTCAAAAGGAGCTATAGCTGTGACTGGTGTTGGCGAGGGGAGTATGGGGGCGCATGCTGGTACAGTGGGGACAGCTGGGGTGGAGACTGGGAGGCCCGGGGTATTACCTGGGGCGGCGATGGCGCTCTCCACCTTAGATAGCCTGCTATTAAGGGTCTGTAGGTTGGCCAAGATTGCTGCCAGGGTATCCTGGGTGGCCGTGCCAGTGCTTGGTGGCTGTCCTTGAGAGCTAGTGCTTGGCCTAGGCTCAGGGGCTTGGTAGGTAAGCAGCCTGTAAAGTTCTGCCTTTCTAGCTGTGGCTGGAAAGGGGATTTCCCTGAGCCTAAGCTCGGCCGTAATTTTAGGAATAGTCCATGCTCTCAAGCACGTGGGAGTTGAAGGGGTGAGAGATTCGCCTGGAGACTCTGGTCTGGTTGGCGTAAACGGTATCTCTTCTGGCAGTTCTTCGATGGGGATTGGTTCTTGAGACATTCTAAAATAAATGATTTTGTGAATGAGATATTAGAAGGGGAGTAAGGAAACGTGGGGGGGATATGAGGGATGGTGCCGAAGCGAAAAACTTATCTGTGGGATTTTTGGTAGGTGAAGCCCTGCTAATGCCAAGTGGCGGTGAGAGGCTCTACCTATGATTTGGCTTAGGAAATTGAGGCCACAGACGTGGTGGCAGGGTGTTGGCCTCTCGGTGACTGTAAAGAGAATTCAAAACGTGTGGCCATGACAGGTGAGGCCCTGACTAAAGCCCTATAGTAGAGTGGGCGAGGCGTATAACTATGATTTGGGCGTGGGGCCATACCTCCGTGTTGAGGTGGGAGATGGCCTCGCGGGACCGGATTTCCTAATAGGGTGAGCTAAGGCGGTAGCCTAGACCCAGTAGCCAGTTCAATTGTATTCTTAAGGTTGACTGGGAAATTCTGGTGTAATGTGTGGATACTAACCTTGAAAAGTTGTAAATGATCACTGGAACCTTCTAGTATTTTTTAATGTGTCGAGCTTCGGACCGCATGGAAGAGGTCGCATAAGCGGTGAGCTCCGTCACACCGTGGGCTTAACAGCGTGATTTCCCAGCAAACCAGCCACCAAAAACGGCCCTACCAGGCACTAACATCACACAGAACAAGATGACAGCAAAAATATCGAAAAAAATGAAACAAAAAACGATCGAATCGCACCTGAATGTGCAACAAGCAACCCCTCTGCAGATCCAAGATGGCGTCAGAGACACAGGATCCCCCACACTAGAACCTGAGGTAGGAGACAGCCAAAACAGCTTTCAAAGCACAGACATGACTCCTGCCACAGACGCATCAATAAGCACAATGCTAGACAGGCTTAAAGCAGCCCTATGCTCTGATATACAAAAAATGGCATCTGATATAAGAACTGACATCCAGGCACTGGGAGACAGGACAGCACACTTGGAAGAAAAAACAGAAGGCCTGTTGGAAGCACACAATGACCTAGCAGAGGCGCATGTAGCGCTGGAAAATAAGGTCAAATACTTAGAGGGGAAGATTGCAGATAATGAGGACCGAGATAGAAGGAATAACATTAGGATCCGTGGAATATCCGAAAATGTGGGACCACAAGACCTCCCACAATATGTACAGAAGCTGTTTAAATCTATGGTCCCAACGCTAACTGAAGCCGACCTAAGACTTGACAGAACGCACAGACTGCCCAAACCACGATATCTGGCAGCTACCATTCCCCGAGATGTTATCACTAGAATCCACTACTTCTCGGCCAAAGATCAAATAATGCAGGCCTCCAGGCTGAATATACCCCTTCCGGACGGATACACAGACCTTAAGTTGTTCATAGACCTATCAGCGGCCACCATGTTTAAAAGAAGATCATTTGCACCTATAACAACGGCTCTCCGAAACGCAAACATATTGTATAAATGGGGATTCCCTACAAAACTAATCATCAAGAGAAATGGAATAGATCGAGCAATTCTGACGCCAGAAGAAGGAAGGAAAATTCTGGGTGAATGGAACATTCCTGTCCCAACAACTGACCCAAGAAATTCGGACATGCCACCACCCCGTAAAGTGACGAGAGACTGGCAACACGTTCCATGGATCACGACAACCCCTCAAAGCCGAAGAAATCCTCATCCCTAAACCCTCTCCATCTGCGCACATGGACACGTAACTTTACTACTTAATTTGGTTTCATGTTTAACAGGTTGACTGCATGTAAGAAGGTGCTGATATATATGGCACACCTCTGACGCAATAATGACGAAAAATAAATAAATAAATAAATAAAAAAAAGGAGCCCACGGTGGGCGTTAGACCACTGTTAACTGTATAACTGCTATTTTAGCTTTATACCTGCTTCCTTTTTATATGTTCCTGTTTTTATTATTGTAACTTTTCTTTCTCACTTTTTCTTTACCTCTTCTTCCCTAATCTCCGCCTTCTATACGAGGTGGACACTGGTTATCACAACTTACCTACTTAAAAACCACCGACCCCCACGTAAGGCTTACTAGGTAGGCCCCCACGTACCCGTCTGCATACCTTTGCACTAAGCCGGAGAGGCTGACGGGCAATTGTACATAGTTCACTCCCCCCCCAATCCCCCTCGATTGACCGTCAGGTCACCATCCCACAGTTTAGGTAACATCCCAACAAACCTGTGCTTGTCCCACCACACCAACTGAACTAGTCGGTGATCAAACCATAACACGTGAAGGAAAACTGTACCATGCCACTAAAATTTCTCTCGCTAAACGCCAAAGGCTTAAATTCGCCTAACAAACGTAGATTAGCCCTCCAGGAGGCCAAGAAACAAGGAGCACAGGTGGCATTTTTTCAGGAAACCCACTTTCAGTGGAGATCCAAACCCAGGTTCAACTCCGCGTGGTTTCCAGTAGACTACCACACGTGCTACCACAAAAAAAAAAGAGGGGTATCGATAATAATCAATAAGAATGTTGTTTTTGAACTTGTACGAAAAATAAGTGACAAAAAAGGTAGATACCTTATCTTACAATGTCGTATGAACAATCAACCGTATACATTGATAAATGTCTATTGCCCTAATGAAAACCAACAAGTATTTGTAGCTAACATGTTCTCTCTCCTGTCAATGTACAGCTTTGGGGAGGTAATCATTGGAGGCGACACTAACTTTCTCCTAGACATCAATATGGACTCCTCAGCCGCGAGAACGGTAACCATATCCACTTCAAAACAGAGACACACACAAACCTCCAACATCCGCAGAATACTAACGACACATAACTTTGTAGACCCATGGAGAATTTCCCACCCAGCTGAAATCGATTACACATGCTATACCGCTGCACACAATAGTTATTCCAGAATTGACAGATTTTTAATAAAGAACACATCACTAGAGAGAATGATAAGTGCAGAAATTGGTATCATATCATGGTCAGACCATGCCCCCATCACTCTGACCATAGCTGAGCAATACCCCTCCCCTGGCCACACTTCCTGGAGACTAAACGAATCCCTACTCCAAGATCCAAGCATAGTATCCCAAATCAGAACAGACCTCCAAAACTACTTCACAGAAAATGTTCGCCCCGACACATCGCCAAATTCTGTATGGTTAGCACACAAAGCGGTGATCAGGGGTAGTTTTATAAAACACGCAAGTCAAGCCAAAAAAGTACGCCAAGCTCAATACCTAGAAATCATCCAAGAAATAACGGCACTAACACATAGAAACAAATGCTCACCATCAGCCATGACCAAAACAGCTCTCCTGCAAGCTCACACTAAATTACAAAACTTTGAACTGGCCAAAACCACATACCTGCTACAAAAATACAAACACAGGTACTTTGCCTATGGCAACAGAGCAGGAGCAAAACTAGCCTCACAGCTCAAACAAAGATCAGTCGCCTCCAGGATTGCCTTCCTAAACACAAATACTGGTCAGAAAGTTAGTGATCCGAACAAAATTGTAAACGAATTCTCCACATATTATCACAAACTGTATAACCTGAGTGAAGACGGGGGAACGAAAGTCCCTACGCTTGCAGATATTGACAATTTTTTAGCAACTGTTCACCTCCCATCCCTGTCATCAGATAAAGTAAAACAACTCAAACAGCCAATATCCCATGAAGAAATATCTAAAGCCATAGCTGACTTACCATCACACAAATCCCCAGGACCAGATGGCCTACCAAATAGATATTATAAAGAATTCTCCAAACTACTACTCCCCCACCTCCTAAACCTATACCAACACAGTTTAGACACGGGAGCCTTGCCAGAGGAACTACTGTTAGCTCACATCTCGACATTACCCAAACCAGGCAAACCACCCACCACCTGCAAAAACTTCAGACCCATCTCCCTTCTAAATGGGGATGCCAAATTATACGCGAAAATACTAAGTAACAGGCTCACGGTCATAATAAGCGAACTAATACACAACGATCAATCAGGGTTCGTCAAGGGGAGACAAGGCTCCGATAACACGCGAAAAATCCTTAACATACTAGCTACCATGGAGGGGGGGTCGGCCGGAGGCCTCCTGCTGGCACTTGATGCGGAGAAGGCCTTCGACCGACTCAATTGGGCCTATATGCAGAGAGTATTACAAAAATTCGGATTCCCAGACGAATTTATCAAAGGGATCATGGCGCTATATGTGAAACCGGCGGCCAAAGTGGCCCATGGTGGCTTCCTCTCAGCCACCTTCCATATATCCAATGGGACACGACAGGGATGCCCCCTATCCCCCCTACTATATATACTATCCCTCGAACCGCTAGCACAAAAAATAAGAAATGACGAACGCATACAAGGCGTCAAAATCCTAGGCAAGGAATACAAACTAGCGCTATTTGCAGACGATATCTTAATCACACTAGAAAACCCTCAAACATCAGTGCCCCACCTGTTGGAGACCTTGGAAAGGTTCGGGGACATATCACACTACCGTCTAAACCAAGACAAAACGCAAGCACTACCCATCAAACTCACCTCCTCCACCACAGCTGTGCTCAAAGACAAATACCTCTTCGATTGGAGGACAACCTCACTCACTTACCTTGGCATAAAAATTGCACCCACCATAGCAGGAGTATTAAAAGTAAATTACCTCACACTCCCACAACAATGCAAGAATGAAACACGCAAATGGTCGCAAACACACATTTCCTGGCTAGGCAGAATAAATGCGTATAAAATGGTGATACTCCCAAAAATACTGTATATATTCAGAATGCTCCCTCTACAAGCACCAAAAACACTTATAAGAACACTACAATCCATATGTAACGCGTTCATATGGGAACACAAAAAGCAACGCGTCGCAAGTGCGATACTATACCAACACTCAAAACAGGGTGGTGTGGGATTACCCAACATAGATCTGTACTATAAAGCATCCGCCTTAGCAACAGGGATACTGCTCCATACTACTGAGGGGATCATACAATGGGTGGACATGGAAAAAGCCCAGTTTAGCAACAACTTGGCACTAGCACACTTGTGGACACCAAGAAAATTGAGGTCGTTAAGATCTGATCTATTACCCACAACAAAATATACTATCCAAATATGGACAACATTTCTAGAAAAAGTAGGGGACAAAAATAAATTCCAGGCAGAGGCACCACTGATGGCCCTAAGGGCCATCACGCCAGACATACGCTTACACAAGTGGTCGTTGGCTGGAATAACACACATACACCAATTACTTCAATCCCAAAAAATGATGACATTCCCCGACATACAACACAAATGGGAACTTCCCAATGACGCGTTCTTTACATACCTACAACTTAAGGGAATCATTACAGCACATGTAAGCAACCAAAATTCAACCCATGCTCACATATCCCTACCAACAAAGGCAATCATAGAAAGGTGCTGGAAACACCCCACAAAACCAAAAACCATTTCCCTATGCTATAAAGCGTGGGAAGACACCATACCCAAAATACCACCACGCTGCAAAACTCAATGGGAACTAGACTGTGCCATCCAACTCACAGACGAAGACTGGCTGCATGTACTGAATGACCTATCTAAATGGACAAAATGCTACACACACATGGAAGCACACAGAAAACTCATGTACAGATGGTACCTAACCCCACACAAACTCCACAAAATATACCCAAACACGACTCCTCTATGTTGGAGATGCTCCGCAGAGAAGGGCACACTTATACATGTCTGGTGGGAGTGCCCCAATATCCAGCCCCTATGGACAGAAGTACACAATACGATCAGAGCACTCCACATCCCAGATATCCAAAAGACACCCGACATATATTTACTCCTGAGATTCCCCCCGACACTCCGAAACTCGCACAAACAGCTGTGTGCCATTATCACCCTAGCAGCCCGCAGCCTACTGGCCCTCCATTGGAAATCCACAATTTGCCCAAACAAAACCCAACTGCGGGACAAAATACACCAATTCTACATCTACGAAAAAATGACCGCTCCTGACGCCAAAACGGCACAGAGGTTTAGCACAACATGGTCACCATGGATAGAACTATATAACCGGCATAAGTAAGGTGGAGCTGCAAGGTCAGAAACATCCTCTATCACCCTATAACCACCACCGGTAATCATATGTATAACCAACGATAGAGCATAGGGAAGAATACCAGTACCCACCACCAGGTGAACACGGGTTGACCAGATGTTAGGCTGGCGATATGAGCAATGATTGTTTAACCGACTATACAGACCGCTCTATGTTACCTAACTGTACATACTCCTAACCGTACCCCAACGTTAATGTTGTACTTGTTTTTGTACTACCTTGATGTACTACTCACAACTGTATTACTGGCTCGAACTGCATCATTGAAGACGAAATTTCAATAAAAAATATATTGAAAAAAAAAAGAAACCGGTGGAGGCCTAGAATACTACTGGAGCTAAGGATTAACCAATGCATAATTAGTTAACGACAGATGTGACAGTATGTAATAAATACCAACATATCTTGCTGTGACAAGTCTAGATAGCTTAATTGTATTTGAGGCCTAGACCTGGATGAAACCAAAGTGAGAAGAATATTATACCTGTTCCTGTAATAAAAGAACTTGAAAGAGCAACTTTTGAGCAGGAATGCAAGAAACCGATGCAATCTGTAAAGCCAAAGACATGTGACAGAGGCAAGAATAAATGACTGTGTGATTCTAAGGAGAAGATGTAGTACAGATGTGGATTTACGCAATTGCCCTAGAAGATCGTGTTTAATAATTAATAGGATTATCATCTAACATTAAGGATGCACGAACGGGTAAGTATGAGGTTCATGCGGATGACCGAACAGTAACACAGAAATACAACGATTAATATGAGCGTTTATACTTATACATAGTTCGGCAGTTTTTCCGTACGATGCGTAAGTGTAACGGGCGTTCATCCGTTTTGGCGCGAACGCTGAATACGTTAACCGAGCATGGATATGTTTAAAGAAGATAGAGGGAGCCTACCCCTACGTTTTTAGGCCCGAACGGAGGGAAATAGCCGAATGCTATTTCCCTCACATAGCTTACGTGAGCGTGCCGGTCTCGTGACCAGAAGCCAGGTACCGAGACCGGGAGGAAAACCGCGCTGGGCCTCAGAACGGACGGAGGATTGCTCTGGACCTCTTGCTGCAGGAAACAGAAGCTGTTCTGGCGGGAAGCTCGGACCGGAAGTGCTGGTTGCTATGGGGATAGACAATCAGCTGAACGGCAGAGGTGAGTAGGGGCTTGGAGTTTAAGTAGGGGACTTACTCCTCCCACAAATTCAGGCCTAATGGCCTTTCTACATATACACAGACATACACATACACACACATACATACACACAATCGTGTAAACTCTAGCTTGCACCCATATGCTAAGAAATGAGAAGCAACAGGTATTTTGGTGTCCCTCAAAATCCAGTAAAGATGAGCATAACATGCTACTCCGATCTAAGGAATATTTGCAGTTTTCTTGGTGGTAATTTAAAGACTCATACCCTGCATTTTGTAAGCCTTCACTGGCTCCCAAGTTCTAATCAGAACAGACTACAAAGTAAATCTTATCACACCATTATTATAAAATGCTTTGTGTTACATAGTAACAGCTACTTGACTTCAGTCTAACAATGGTCTCTCTCATTGACCATTATCTTTCTCTGGGGGTTGTAGAAAGGAATTTAAAGGAAATCTGTCACCCAAAGATGTCAAGACTCCTTTTACAAGACAGCATGATTTGATCTTCACATTGTGGCCCATTCTACACGGAGACAATTAGGGCAATAAAATGGCTTTGCTAAATTTTATTTGTGCATAAAAAAAGCTCACTACAAGACTACAAGGAAATATCAAACTTGATTGTTACATACATACATACCCTTTACATTAAGTGTAGCAGTCAACAAATAACTGAATATATGAATTCAAAAGGACAATTGATTTAGAAATAGCTAATAGCTAATAGCTAAATAGCTAACTGCAACAGTATGCGTAACATATCACTAGACAGTATAATTACAACCATATACATTTTATACAAGAGCAAGAGACGTTATTAAATAAACACATTTTTAAACATATACATATACAGAAATGTTTGCCAACAGAACCCAGAAAGGTTATTCAGAAACTGGAATTTTGTAGGAATTGCCCAGGTAATAGTAAATTATGGACAGACAAGCCAAACCAGAAAAACAGCATAGCTGGATAATTATTCTAAACTTGGTTATTTTACCCTAAAATAAGCAATCCCAGCCAATTCCTAGATGCGTGTATATATGCCGGAATAATAGCTCCCTCATTTATCTCATGGCTATGTAAGGGGTTTTATATATATATATTGTGATCCTTGTCACCAGGTAGCACGGCCCTCTAGGGTAAAAACATGCACAGTCCTTGTAATTGCATATACTCAGGCACTTTATTTGCAAATCCACACAGGATACAGCAGAAAATGAAAAACAAAAGTAACAGAAAACCCTATAAACAAACACCTAGCTCGTCTGAGCACTAACTGACATTAGTTCCCTATCTCTCAGGGTTAAACTAAACAAAACAATAGTGGTTTCACCAACCTAGAGTCTTTGTCCACTCTCAGCACTCCAGTATTTAGCCAGCCTGCTGCTTCCAGCCTTTCAGAGAGAAAAAGAACATTCTCCCTTACCTGCCTAGCAGGGAGGGATTTTATTCCCACTTGCTGCAGCTGATTACCTACAGCTGAGCAGTAGGTTGGAGACAGTCCAAAACCCTGGGCTGGATCTAAGTCTTCCAAGAAAACCGCTAAGCTGCGGAGTGGAGCATTGGCCCACCCTTCTCTCCAAATGCTCCACCCCAGGGGCCCATAACTAAACAATGCTTTGTGTTGCCTACAACACATCCTACACATACTCCCCCTGGGGTTAAATGTTATAGGCCTATCTGCCTTCACTTTATCACATATCCTCCCCCCCAGCTCAGACCCATCGGGTCGAGCGGCCTTAGAACACAAACCGTGAACTTTCATAACACCTAGGGCTCTACCAGCCCTGACTAACTTCTCAGTTACAGGAAGTGGCCTACTGTAGATAGCGGCTACCTTGCTCCCTTGTAGTTTAAGGAGCCCCCGCCCAAGTGGATAACCCAAATAGTTATCAAATCCCAGATAACACGTAGCAGTGTTATCGGTCAAACCGGCAGCCTTTACACTATCCACAACTGCCTGAACCTTCATCAAGTGGGTTTCCCAGTCCGCACTGTGAATCACCACATCATCCAGGTAGGCGGCTGCATACTGTCTGTGGGGGTGAAGTATCTTATCCATCATACGCTGAAACGTTGCTGGGGCACCATGCAACCCAAATGGTAGCACTTTATATTGGAACAACCCATCAGGGGTAGAAAACGCAGTTTTCTCTTTTGCTTTCTCAGTCAGGGGTACCTGCCAGTATCCCTTGGTGAGGTCCAAGGTGCTCAGATATCTGGCCTTACCTAATCGCTCTATTAGCTCATCCACACGAGGCATCGGGTAGGCATCAAACTTAGAGATATCATTTAGCTTACGGAAATCATTACAGAAACGGATTTCCCCATTTGGTTTGGGCACTAACACAATTGGGTTGTTCCACTCACTTTGTGATACTTCAATCACCCCCAACTCAAGCATCTTTTTAACCTCTGCACTAACCGCTTCACGTCTAGCCTCAGGTATCCTGTAGGGCTTCAGATTGATCTTCTTCCCAGGTTCAGTTAGGATATCATGCTTGATTATATGTGTTTTTCCTGGTATTGGGGAAAACACATCCCTATTTTTAGACACAAACTCCCTGACTTCCTGTTTCTGATGGGGGGCAAGAGTATCAGCGACATGCACCTCCGGACCCTGCTCACGAGTGGCTTGAGTAGGTTTATCTCTGGTCACGATGAGAACCTCTCGTTCTACCCATGGCTTCAATAAATTTATATGATATGTCTGTTCTGGCTTCCGTCTGCCTGGCTGTCTTACTTTGTAGTTCACGTCACTGATCCGCTCAGTGATTTCATATGGCCCTTGCCAGCTGGCTAAGAATTTGCTTTCTACCGTGGGAACAAGAACTAGAACCCTATCACCTGGTTTGAAGACCCGTAGCCTTGCGTTCCGGTTATAGCTTGCTTGTTGGGCTCTCTGGGCCTTTTCCATGTTTTCCCTAACTATGGGAATTACCGCTTCGATCCGCTCTTGCATTTGCGCTACATGCTCTATAAGACTGTGATGGGGGGTATGCTCTTGTTCCCATGTTTCCTTGGCAACATCCAGTATGCCTCTTGGATGCCTACCATACATTAACTCGAAAGGTGAGAACCCTGTGGAAGCTTGCGGGACTTCTCTAATAGAAAACATCAGGTAGGGTATGAGATAATCCCAATTTTTTCCATCCTTGTCTATCACCTTCCGCAGCATAGCCTTTAGAGTTTTATTAAACCTCTCCACTAATCCATCAGTTTGCGGATGGTATACCGAGGTTTTCAACTGCTTGATTCTGAGCAATTTGCACAAATCACGCATGATTTTTGACATAAAAGGGGTTCCCTGATCTGTGAGAATTTCCTTAGGTATACCCATCCTGCTAAACATCATCAGTAACTCCCTTGCAACATTTTTAGAGGTGGCATTCCGTAGAGGTACTGCCTCTGGATACCGTGTTGCATAATCCACAACAACTAAAATGTACTGATGTCCTCTTGCGGACCTAGGCAACGGCCCTATCAGGTCCATTGCTATTCTTTCGAATGGAACCTCTATGATGGGAAGGGGTACCAATGGACTACGGAAGCCCTTATGCGGAGCTTTCAGTTGGCATTCTGGGCAGGATTTACAAAACCTCTCTATTGCCGAAAATACCCCTGGCCAATAGAATCGGGTCAGAATTCGTTCCCTCGTTTTTTCAAAACCAAGGTGCCCACCTAACACATGGCTATGGGCTAGTTTTAAAACAGTGTTTCGGTGAGATTGGGGAACTAACAACTGTTCTGCCTCCTCTTCCCCCTTTTTCTCTACTCGATACAGCAGATTATTTTTCACCATGAAATAAGGAAAGCTCAAGGGCTTGTCAGGGTCCGCCCTTGTACCCTCCACTATTTGCACATTCTCTCTTGCAGCTGTCAAGGACTTATCTTCCCATTGGGCTGCTCGGAAGTTACCAGGGGGGACTCTGAGATCCTGAAACTCCACTTCTTCTATATGGTCTTCAGTATGGGGAGGTTCTACCTCATTACCCAGGCACACCAAGGGTGTCTCTTGCTCGTCACATTCTAAATCGGAGAAAGGAAAAATATTTTCTATACACTCTACCCCGGGTAGCTCCTCAGAGCGCATTTTTGGATGAGCAGAGCACTTTTCCCATAGGCGGCAGAAATGGGGAAAGTCCCTCCCTAATACCACATCATACGGTAATAGGGGCACTACCCCTACAGAGCATTTAACCTCCCCTACCTTGGTGCCAAACTCAACCTCTGCCGTGGGGTATGTGTGGGTGTCACCATGTATACACACAATATCAATCACTTGTTTGGTGTCTAATTTCCCTGGCTGGAGCAGAAAACTTTTTATCAAGGTAACCTCACTCCCTGAATCAATTAGAGCTTGTACATTCTTTCCTTCCACCCTCACCATTATTAAATGTGTTGCATTAATAGCACTAGTCACCACACACATCTTTGAGCAAGTCAATACAGTCCTATGCAGAGCCCTTGTCCCTACATCACACTGCATGGGCTCTTCATTCTCTGGACAGCTGCGTGCAAAGTGTCCAAGCTCATGGCATTTAAAGCACCGGAGTTGTCCCTCAGCGTGGTCTTGTAGCCGTAATGGAGCTGGTGGGGACCTTCTGCCACCCCGGTCACATGGTTCAAGGTTCGGTATAAAGTTTTGTCTTTTGTTTCCCACTTTCCCGCTTATCCGGTTGTTAGCCGGTCGGGACTTCTGATGAGGATCAATACTGTATGGCTCCTTGGCAACCAAATACCTCTCAATCAGGCACATCATTGCTTCTGGATCCTGAGGGTCCCCTTGGCAGACCCATTGTCGCAGTCCTGTTGGCAGGTGTCTGAGAAAACGGTCCATCACAACCATTTCCACTATCTTGGTAGCAGGGTTGCGCTCTGGCTCCAGCCACTTCTGAGCGAGCCTGAGCAATCCATACATCTGGGCTCTGGTAGGTTTACTCACATCGTATGCCCAATTATGAAATCTGTGGGCTCGAATGGCTGGTGTTACGCCAATGCGCTTTAGAATTTCAGCTTTAAGTTGCTTGTAATCCTGGATCTGGTCAGAAGGTAGGTCTTCATAGGCTTTTTGGCACTCCCCACTCAGGCATGGAGCTAGAAGCCCCGCCCATTGGCCCAGTGGCCATCTTTCCTGGGCAGCAACCCTCTCGAAAGTGGTGAGATAAGCCTCCACATCATCTGTCTCTGTCATCTTATGCAGGAAGTCTGTGGCACGGATACGGGATCCCCTTTCACCAGGGGGGCTCCCTGCAGATGGCAATATCACTCTCTGCAACACCTCAGTAAGGGCAGCTCTATCCATCTGCTGGGCTTCCTTCAGGTTCTCAACCTGGTTAACCAGTAGACGATTTGTTTCCTGTTGTACAGCGGTTGCCTGTACCAGAGCTTTCACCAGCTCCTCCATTATAGCACCAAGCAGGTAACAGTCTTAAAGGTACGGTGCTACTTGTTTGCTTATCAGGTCTGCAAAAATAAAAGTCCTCAAGCAGACTACCAAATGACTGGCACACCCACAGACCCTCACTGTGCTACTATGCCCGCATTCTCCACCATATTGTGATCCTTGTCACCAGGTAGCACGGCCCTCTAGGGTAAAAACATGCACAGTCCTTGTAATTGCATATACTCAGGCACTTTATTTGCAAATCCACACAGGATACAGCAGAAAATGAAAAACAAAAGTAACAGAAAACCCTATAAACAAACACCTAGCTCGTCTGAGCACTAACTGACATTAGTTCCCAATCTCTCAGGGTTAAACTAAACAAAACAATAGTGGTTTCACCAACCTAGAGTCTTTGTCCACTCTCAGCACTCCAGTATTTAGCCAGCCTGCTGCTTCCAGCCTTTCAGAGAGAAAAAGAACATTCTCCCTTACCTGCCTAGCAGGGAGGGATTTTATTCCCACTTGCTGCAGCTGATTACCTACAGCTGAGCAGTAGGTTGGAGACAGTCCAAAACCCTGGGCTGGATCTAAGTCTTCCAAGAAAACCGCTAAGCTGCGGAGTGGAGCACTGGCCCACCCTGCTCTCCAAATGCTCCACCCCAGGGGCCCATAACTAAACAATGCTTTGTGTTGCCTACAACACATCCTACACATACTCCCCCTGGGGTTAAATGTTATAGGCCTATCTGCCTTCACTTTATCACAATATATATATTATATAATATTTGTAGAAAGCAGACTACTACAGCAGCATTTGGGGAAGGTGGGAAACAAAAACAAAAAAATCAATTATGTAAAAAAGGGTTTCCCTTTTCAACGTTAATAACATGAACATTTCAGAGGCATTCTATTCCCTATTAATTAATCCTAAAGAGATTTATGAGAAGCTTTTAATATGCTCGAAAACATGATTGCAGTATTTGTAAAATGACAGCATCCTTGTGTTTAGCCTTTTCTTCATTGCAGAGACAATCTGTACGTGATTAACATCAGGCAAACATCAATTACTCCTTTTAGAAGACATATTGGGAGGCAGGATTAATTAAAATAAATAATCAGTGATTCAAGTTTAAAGAGGAACGGCCATTTCCGTGATTTCCGCACAACCAAACAGCTAACAAAAAGTTAGCAAATGGTTGTGCTAGGGTTTGTATTGTCTTTCAAAAAGACAAAATTATCCATAAACTATCTTTATAAAGTTACTATAAAAACAAACAAAAAAACACAACCAAAAACACTGCTGTACAAAAGCAAAGTTTAGCGTTTGAATAGGTTAGTTTAATGTTCAAAGAGAGCCCAGACAAAGCAACAACAGTTCCATAAGTACATTCTAATCTAATGCAATTCTTCTCAAAAACCTCTAACGAACAGCGGTTTAGGTACATCAAAGGAGCAAAAGACAGATGTATTAACTAGTAAAACATTTCCAGGTGAGTTATCATTTATACAACACTAAGAAGAAGATAAAATGGGTAAAAGGATAAATTAAAATGTTGTTTGACACAAAAAATGCAGGATGTTCCAGAGTACTCCACTCAAATTTTCAAACAGACAGGTGAGATACAAAGTGCAGATAAGGGTATGAGGAAGAAGACAGGATAAATAGGCAGGGTGAATATTAAAGGAGATGGGTGTCAAGAAAGCTTTGTAATCACTCCATTAGCAACAGGTTTTAGTGGAGCTGTTAAAGATGGTGCTTAAATAAGGACATGGTTTCAGAAGTAAAAGGCCAGTATGATGGAAAATTTACATTACGTTCCTTAAAGAGTTCAAGAAAAACATCCAACTGAAGTTAGTTCTAGATATTTGGGGCAAATGAGGCGGTGAACAATTGCACAAGTGTAGAATTGTGGTGGGTTTTGTAAGTCGGAATGTTTCGAAGAGTGGAGTGTAAAAAGGTTAAAAAAAAATAAGAATAAAACAATAACAACACTTTGGAATTGTCCTTGGTTATTTAATAGTTTAGAATATCAGTAGAAACGGGAAGTTTGGGAATAGAAGGAGTGGTCAAATCTTCACCTAGCATGACAGTTGGTAACATGAGATATGGGGTAGATTTAAAGATGAGGAGAGGAAAGGTAAATTTTGGTACTCTCTTCATATTAATGTACTTTAACCTTAGGAGTGTCAGATGTCTGAAGGTGTTCACACGTGAGCAATGTACATACAATATTAATCAGACAGTGAAACCTTCCTGTTTAAAAGATGGACATGTATAGAAAAACAACAATTACTTACTAGTTCCAGTTAGTGCAATTATTTTCAAAGGTGAACCATCACTTTTTTTCATATTATCATTACTTACAGACAGGTGTTCTAATACTGATGTCCAATTATAATGTTACAACTAGTGTAAAAAAAGAGAGCACACATAAATAAATGTAAAGGACTCTCCGGTATTAACCATTACTCTATGTAGGACAGATAAACAAGAAACTGTTGCAGTGACTTACAAGATTCTTTGTCAGCCTGAACAGCTGGCATATAATATTTTAGTCCACCCCTGCCATTGCAAATACTGTCTTACACAATTCTGTACATTTTTGTTGGCCTAAAAATAAAATGTACCCTTTCTGTTAGAGGACACCAGAATCATATCTCCTTTTTGATATGCACTACAAAGGTCTGCAAGACCAGTAGGAATTGGAGAGGTGACATAGTGTTGAAGTATAGCTAAAAGCAGAAGACAAGCATCGCATGGGGGAGGAGGCATTGATGAACCTGCTGAATGAGGGTAAGGAATTTTACTCTAGCTATCTCATTACTGGTTACATTAAAACTTAACCTCTTTGGAACCTGAACTAGGCAAATCACTTATTTTAATAGTTCTGACAGGTTGCTAGTCCTGAAGAGGTTAACACAGCCATGGTTCCAGCGGCCACACGCACATTGTTATGAAAAAAGAAACAGCTTGGCATCTTTTAGCATTCTGAATGAAACGCAACATGAGGGGATTAAGAAGAGAAAGCCTGGCCTGCGTGAGGCTGATTTGGGCTTGTAGGATGAAAGGAATGTGGGTCAAAACAACCAAACAAAAATTATTAGAGCAGAAACAGCACAGAGGAAATATTGACTGAATATATTTTCCTGTTGATAAATGTACTTATTGAGTAAACTATTCACCATATGTACTGCATAAAGGCAACAATCGCCATCAGAGGAATACGGTTACAAAGTACAGTGAGCTTGTTGAAATGGATTTCCATGGCACAACTGCAGAATTGCCGGACATCCCAGTGTAGATACACACATATACACCAGGAGGTATTGCAATACTTTGCTCTGAAGTGGAACTCCACTAAGCATTTAAAAAAAAAAAAAAAAGTTACATTTATTTCCAACAATGTCTTGTAGAGAAAAGGTAGTGTTGACATTGCTCCGTAGGGACACATCCAGTGGCAGTCACTAGGACGGTGCTTCCTGGGTCAGTAATGGTCGTTGGGCATCTCAACGCTCTGCATGGAGACACTGCACATTTCTCATAGAGATGCATTGATTTAATGTATCTCTCTGAAGAGATGCCGATTGGCCAGTGGGGCATTTGGCTTTGCCCCGCCCAGCCTCCATTGCTGACATCATCAAAACTGACGCTTCAGCCAATCCAATGCTTTCCTATGGGAAAGCATTGGATTGGCTGAGTCAGT